AGGCAGGCACACCACTCGATGTTTTGCCTCCAATTGCAAAATAGCTTATCAGCGGAGAGTGTTTGGTAGTCGAAAAGCACATATCGACATATCCCTAGATTAAAGTGAATCAATGAATTTTAATTCGAGGAAATTCGATGACAAATAAAGAAAAAAGTGAAACATGTAAATACACATACTTTGCCGATTTTTTTGCCACACAGTTTTTATATTCTCTGTCGCGTTGCATGAAGTCATTCCTCTCCAACAACTGCATATATGTTACGTAGTATATATACACATACATAACACCTGTCCATAAATAACGGACGGTAAACAACGGCATGGAGAATGGAGAATAAAAATGAAAAACTAAAACAGAAAATTTCAATTTTCATTGTGCAGCGTTTTCCATGTTCAATTCTATTTTATTTGCCCATAAATTCTGAATGAAAATTGCTGGTTACTGTGCGAGATAGATAGAATGCCAGGCGGTGCAAGGGGGAGGGAAGTGAGGTGGCTGAAAAGTCGGCGTTTATCTCACAGATACACACCGCACCGCACAAGTACGAGAAAAAAATGTATACAGATCGACCATTAGATGCGCTTTAATTAAGTGGAAAGATCTGATTAAAGCTGTTCATGATTTCAAGAAAAAAAGAATTAGGAACTTTAAATTATAAAGAAAATCTTTAAAAAAAAGATTAAATATATATAATTTACTGAGGTATACAGAAAAGTATTAAAGAAACATTCCTATTCATAAACAGCCAAAGAGACCCATAAAAATATAAGGCAAACAATTGGAAATTGCGGAAAAACGTCTATGCATCATCCACATGCTGATCCTGATCGAAAACATACACTTTATGGGGTCGCAAAGGCCTGTCCCCCTGTTTTCTGCGAAAACAAAAGTGCTCTCGCATTCTAGTAGAACCTGGGGAAAGAGTAGCGAAAATAAATAAACAGCGACTACAATTTTGAAAGCAAAAACGACGAAAATAATTGCACAAATAAAACGGAGAAAAAGACGTGAACGCAAAGCAGCAAAAAAAAATACAAATAAAACAAGAAAACAAAAATTAAAACGAGCACAACATGGCGATGGCGACGGCGACGTGTGCGTTATTTAAATGATTTTGCCCAGTTTGCCTCGCTGCGGTGCTGTCTCAATTTAAATGTTTTTTATAGCCTGCATTCGATGACTGCCACTCCTAACATTTTCAGAGACAGAGGCAGAAACCCGTCTGCGAAAGCGAGAGGGCCTGAATGCCCCAAACTGAACGAAATGAAACGAAGCGAAAAAGTTAACAAAATCAACAAACACAATAAAGGCAAAGGCAGAAATCGTTTAATTTATTCTCGATGCGTATGAAAACGAAAATACAATTCGAGCTTCGCTTCGGTTTGCTTTGCTTTGCTTATGCCTTCTTTATCACTCTTTTCTTACCCGTGCGCATTCGTATCTATATTGCTCATACGCCATGTTGACTCAATCTGAAGCTTATACCGAAAAAATGCTTAAAAACCGAAAATATCACGTTTATTACTGGCATAATGTGCACAAATTTAACTTGTTTAACTTTAAAAACTTGAAATTGTAATCTAGGGAGAAATAAATAAAACTTCTGTTTTTTTTTGGGGCTTGAAACAAATACCAATATTTAACTTTCAGCAATTGCAAAAAACTTTAGCAAATTTATTCCGGGTTTTCCCTCGCCACCGCCGGTGTCTTAATTGTTTTCTTTTCTTTTCCGACCATTGTCTTGGTATCTCTCGCTCTGTCTCCCCCTCCCTTGGCTATTGTTGTTATCGCCATTTAGTTGGCAGCCCGCAGCTGCAGCGCGTGCGTGCTAGCAAGCCCGATTTGAGGGCACTGTTACAAGGCTGTCGTCACGGCGGGCCTAGTCAGTCGCTATGTCTCCGGCTCTGTCTGCGATCCAATGTTCCCGCCCAAACCATCTCTCGGTACCACCTCTTAAGGCCCCCCAAAATTGGCCAGACAACGTCGCCTCAGATTCACAAGCGCGTTGGCAGTTGCATTCTTGGCGTTTTCAGCCACAGCTAAACTTGGCTTGGTCTAGGTGATTATTGGAGCAAGACGAATGCGTGCCTAGATATAAATACACACATACATATATATCTGAGACGGTATGTGAGAGCTGCAACTTCTGAGAACAAGTTTTGCGCCCGACGCAGTATCCAGCTGTGAGCTGAACTTTGGCCGCGTTGCAATCAAAGTCAGCCAAATGCCACACAATCAGCTCCAAGAAGCAGGCTAACAGAATAGCCAAGTTGGAAACACTTGAGTGAGACTTTTCTCAAAAGAGATTTTAGTTAGGTGTTGATTGAGCCAAAGCTTAAATGGGGAAAAGTAGAAACATGCCCATGGACTTAAAAGTTGGTATAAATTAATTAGTAGCCAAGATAAAAGAGTTTAATCTTCATATTATAGAAAATAACTCTATTAATTCATCTTTAAATCTCATCTTAACCTTTAAGAAAATATTTCTAAAACAAGCCTGTTTATTTGTTACCCTAAGCAATCATTACTGTGGAGGCAAAAACCTTTAAGTGATTGCCGTAGGCCATAGCAAAAGTTTAATTAGCTTATCAGTGAAATGTGCTAAGACGTGCCTCCCAATCACCCCACTTCCACTGATAACCCCTTTTCGCCCCTTTCGCATTGATAAACAATCAGAAAATCCGTTGAGTTAATGTAAATAGGTATAGGACCTAATGCCGCGATACTTAGTCCCCATGACTACGGCCGGCGGACTCTAATTGACTTGGCCCAAAACAAATGATTGATGGCCTTACTTCTCGAGCAAGCACAGGCAACAACGAAATGATTATAATTGGTGCCAATAAAACTGTAGACGACACATGTCGCATGGAAATCGGAGGCGAAACATTAATATATATAAACCACACATATGCCCAGCACATAGACAACTAATTTTTCGGGCTAGGCCAAAAGGTCAGGCAAGGTCATGGTCAGCGATTACCGCACTTTTCGGGAGCATTCCTTCTTCTCAGTAGGAGCCTTTGCCAGGACTTTACAACTCTCTTGATTGCGCTTTCTGTTTAGTTTTTTAGTTTCTAGTTTTTCACATTTCCACAATTTCTAAACTTTATGCCGCATTCACACGCAGAGCTCTACTGACTTTTGTTTTGTTTTGCTCTCTGGCAATGTTTGGACATAAAACTTATTATAATTTATTAATTACCAGCAGCGTTTTGCCTTTGATAAAGAAAGAAACACAATTTCATTAATGGCCAACGGGCACGCAATAAGCAGAGCCAAGAAAAGGGGAAAAGAAGTACGATTCATAAAATAAAAGATATACTTCTTTAACTACGTTTTGCTTTGACATTATTCATGGCTTTCTCTCCCCCATCATCACCATTTGCTGCTGCTTCTTTTTCTCAGCCTTTCAAATGGGTCAAGTGTAAATGAATACATTTCTGTGAAAATTGTGGGAGTTGGTTGGAATTCCAAAGAAAAAATAGAAGCAAAAAAGTATATTAAAACGTCGAGATTGTTTTATTTGGGATTATTCTCTCAAACTTATGTTTAAGTAGTATTTACTTCTATCTTCTAAATTCTCTTTAAATTGTATTCAAAAATTTTTTTGGTAAAGAAAACCAAATAGATATTCATTAGATATAATGTAAATTAATTCCACTGCCATTCTCTGTGGCATTGCTGGATTTATCTACCCCTGTGGTTAGATTTTCATTGAGTTCAGGTGTAAAATGCATAAATTTCTCTGGATTCTGTTTCAATGTAAATAAGTTTCTTGAAAATATACAAAATGCCTGTATAGAGGACTTATCTTTAATATAGACAGTTCTTTGAAATTGAAATACAAAATAAACACCTTCACTGAATGGTTATACAACGAGCTTTGTCAGTTTTAACTTCTGATTTTATTTACTTTAAGTACAAAAAATTCCTTTTGAAAAACGGTAATTTGTTTGCATTGGCATTATCAATTGTCTAGTTTGTCTGTCGAAGAGATTAGAATCGTAGTTTCGCCCTAACTTATGACCAGTTTGTGTTACAGTTTGCGTTTACGACCGCATTCTGACGCTTATGGCAATTAATGATTCGATGTTTACGGGTACTTTACCCCCTTGGGGGCTCTCGCTCCGCAGCGAGTGAGTGGTCATGCTCGAGTTTTATTTTTTTTAGCGAAAATATCACGTAGGGAGGGAGCTGTGTGGGGTAGCATCCGGGGATACCAAGAAGGCCCAGTCACAGTGGGGAAACTAATTAAAAGAATTCCGTGTCCGACGAGCGACTGTCGCCGCCAGAACGTACAATTGACGGACAACAACGACGACGGAGTAGAGTAGAGAAATGCCTCTTGTCTCATAATCAACTCTCTGGCACTCACTCGTTCCGCCCGCTCCCTTGCAGCAACACAGGCAAAAACATTCCACTCACAGCAATCAATCAATCAAACGCCGCGTCGTCCATCAATCTCCGGCTAAAGTCAAAACAAAAACAAAACGGGAGTAGTATACCCTTGCCCTAAATACCCTTCGTTGCCAGCGTTCTCCAAAGAAAGTACGAAATATAGTCAATAAATTAATATCTCATCCGGCAATATGGTGAGTAATAGCCATCTGTGTGAATTTACAGATTGATATATTGCATAATAAATAAGGAAGTTGGCTTTACCGTGTATATATCTCTGGTTGGTTAGCGAACATGTTCCCCACATATGATGTAAGTTTAGATTAGGGACCCAGTTTGTATGTTAACGATGTGCTTATTGTAATAATGTGAAACATATGGAGCAACCTAATGATCATATCATTGAGCAAGTCATAGATAATAGAGAAAATGGTTAATCTATATTCTGTTATGTTATCCCTCACTGGTTGTAAGTTATGGCATATTTAACGTACCCTGATAAAGTAAATAATTCCTGAGCTAAAACCATAAGATCAAAGTCAGCTTATCAATTGCGAATTGAAGCAAAGTCCAATAATTATTCTGGCATACTTACGTTTATGTAAATTGTGGTGTGTGGTAATTGTGGCGCAATCCAATGTTTGCAAAAATTTGTGTATGTACTTGTAGATGTTTGGAGCAGGAGTTGACATAGTTGACTTGCCCAGCTAGACGCAGATGTAATAGTTGTAGGAGTTGATTTGGTTGGAGTGGAGCTGTTGTTACAGTTGTAGTTGTAAGTAGTAGACATATATATAGACAAGACGACGACAATGATGACGACGACGACGATGAGGACGAGGTCCGCAATGCCACGCCAGAGCGGTGGCACCAGCGGGAGCAGTTGCAGTTGCAGGACACAAACGCAATAGCAGATACAATTACAGTTGCGCAGTTGCCTGTATGCAGACGCCTGCAGAACGACGGGGAACGAGAGGCTGGCTGGCGGAGAGTTCTCTTAGAATTCAGCAAACTCCTTGGCGCACTTCTCTGTGCTGGAGATCCGCAGCGCCTCCTCCTCGTAGTCGTCGAAATTGCTCGTGTCGCCGGGACCCTTACACCGCGGAATGAACGGCGCCTCGATTTTCTTTTGGAAGATCGCAATCCAGTCGGTGGAGGCGAACCACTTCTGGTTCTTAATATCATTGACGCCCGCCTTCAGATTGCCGTAGCGCTTGGTCAGGTCCACCTGCAGCAGATTGCGCAGCAGGTCCTTCAGATCGGAACCGAAGTGTGACGGGAACCGCACCTTGCCGGACACGATCTTCTCGTAGATCTGGATGGGCTGATCCGCAAAGAACGGCGGATAGCCGGCGGCCATCTCATAGACGAGCACACCCAGCGCCCACCAGTCGACGGCCTTATTATAGCCCTTGGAGAGAATGATCTCGGGGGCCAGGTACTCGGGCGTACCGCAGAGCGTCCAGGTGCGGCCCTTGACCCGCTTGGCGAACCCGAAGTCCGTCACCTTGAGGTAGCCCTGCGAATCGATCAGCAGGTTCTCCGGCTTCAGATCCCGGTAGATGAGGTCCAGGTAGTGCAGGTACTCGAAGGCCAGCACAATCTGCGCCGCATAGAAGCGCGAATGCGGCTCCGAGAAGCGTCCCACCTTGCGCAGATGCGAGAACATTTCGCCACCGGGAACGTACTCCAGCACCATGTAGAGGTTGGAGTTATCCTTAAAGTGGTAGCGCAGCGAGACGAGGAAGGGGAACTGGATGGCCTGCAGGATACGCTTCTCGTTCAGCGTGTGCTCCACCTGCTTCAGCTTGACCACCTTCTGCTTATCGAGAATCTTCATGGCATAGTAGTCTTTCGTGGGCTTGTGCTGGACGATCATTACGCGGCCAAACGACCCGGTGCCCAGTGTCTTGATCCGCTCGAAGTCATCGAGGGCGGCGGTATTGGTCGGATTGCGGCGCCATTTGTCCTCGAACTCCTCCTTGGCCTGCTCGAGGAACTCCTTCACCGTCTCAGCGGCGTCTACCTTCTTGTTTGACGTGGTGGCGTTATTGCCCATCTTTGAGATGGTTCCAGTTAGCGATGATAGCCGGAATGTGGCACTGGCCGACACTTGAGCGTGATCCTCACCGCTAGCTCCTGCTGCAGATGCTCCTGCTCCTCCGGATGCACCACCTGGTGCTCCTGTCGCTTCCGCTGCCGCTCCCGAGCCGGAACCGGTCGTGGTGCTTGTGGCGGCGGAGGGCGTGCTCTTGGCGGCGGCGGCTGCTGGCGACGGGCCGCTGCTGCTGCTGCTACTAGTAGCCTGGTCCGCTGCGGCTCCTCCTCCGGCTCCTCCCGCTGCCGCTCCGCCCTCCTCCTCGCAACTGGACTGCGCCTGTAGCTTGCCCTCGCCGGATTGGGAACTACTATGATGGGACTTTTTCTTTTTGAGGAACTGCAAAATGGACTTAGCTATTTTGCCGAGTTACGGGTTACCGGAGCGGATGAAATGGCGGTCCTTCTGGGCCCAAGGGAGAGCTACACGATGGAGCTCTCTCTCTTTCTCGCTTGGTTATCTTGTTGGAGTTTATTTTTTGTTTGGGGGTTTTTTGGAAGCGTTTGGTTTTTCGACGCGTTTAAATTCTGGTTTCGCTTAGCTTAACACGTTTGCGGTTTCTTTTTGTGTATGGATTTTTCGTTAAAACTAGTTTACACTTTAGGCTTAGACTAACATTTGGTTTAACACTTTTTTTAGGTTTTTTATATGCTCGCGATTCGAGAAGCTGCAAAGAGAAACGAAAGAGAGGAAGAAAGAGAGAGAACGGCACAAATTAGCAAAAGGAATTTGGCTAAAAATAAAGAGTCCAGTTAATCGCTATTTATCTTTATATCTTGCGTGCGTGTGTGCGTGCGTGCTAATTAATTGAATTTATATTTTTCACTCTTATACAGTTTTGTTCTTCCCAGCGCTTTGTTGGCACTTTTTCGCCGAAAGCTGCTGCTCGTAATCACTGAATAAATAAACCAAACGAAATCACAGATAAACTCGAAATTAAAAGGGGTGAAGAAGAGCCAGAGAGAGCACGGAGAGGTGACAGAAAGAGAGGAAGCGACTTTCGATCGTGTCAAGTGTCAAACAGCTGATGTAGTGCCAGCCCGCTCGCTCTCACGCACTGCCGCGCACACTGTTACACCCGCACACGCATATTTGTTGCTTCTTCTTCTTCTTTCTCACGTCCCACAAAGATTTCTGTCTATTTAAATTATTAAATACTTTTGGCACCGTCTTGTTGCCTTTTGCTTTTGTTTTTGTTTATTTTTTTGTGTTTTCGTTTTATTTTTGAGCGTTTTGCCTTTGCACTTTACGCTTGTGTAGGTGCGCGAGTGTCACACTGTTGCTGTGTGTGTGCGTGTGCGCTTCTGGTTTAGTTTTTGCAATCTCGCTTTTGCGCTCTCTTCGCAGGCACTTTTCTACATTTCGCACACTTTAAATTAGTTAAATTGGCCTTTATTGCACATTGTGCTAAATTTCGTTATTCGATTTGGGCATAAAAATCCCGTGGTTTAAACAAACACAATCGCACACGCATACACACACAGCGCTCGGGCTCGCGCACACACACACGCGCACACAGATTGGATAATCGATTTTTTTTCACATTCATTTCCTTTTGAGTTTGTTTGACTTTGTTTTTGCTTCTTTCGCATTTTCCTTTGCGAAATTACCTTTTTGCAATTTTTTACTACAATGCCAGTCCGCGTTTAGAAGTATTGCATTCGACTTTCCGATCAATTATGTGCACTGTAGCTGTGAATTTGATGGCTTAGATTAAAAATACCCGCATAGCCGCCGAACACGTCCCGTCACGTTCGAAATTTTTTTTAAACTCGAGAATTTAGAGCTGGAAGTAGGGTTGTTGATAATATATCAAAATATCGATATATCGATATTTGTCCAAATATCGAAATAGCGATATTTTTATTTGATTTTTTTATATTTGTTCCTTGGTCACTCTGAATTTTAGAACAATTATTTATCAGGGGCTTGTTAAAAGAATTTTCTGTCTATGGAATTCCCCAGAATGAGAACGGCTTTCTGGTAGCAGATATTTTTTTAACTCGAGAATTTAGTGCTGGAAGTAGCTTCGATATTGCTAATATCGATGTGATACATCGTATTAGTTATCAACATCGATATTTTCTTTTCGCTAGATATGAGAGCGAGGTGGATTTGCAAGATTGCAGAACTTGCAAGTTTATCATTTATATTTTAAAAGCATATTACTTTCAAATTTAAGATAATTTATTTGTTATCCCAATGTAAAACTTGTTTGTTTCTTTTTAACTCAGCTTCTGTTTTCACGATCAGGGAAAATAAAAAATAACAGTAAAAAACATATTAAGAAAAATCGTAACGGAATTAAAAAGCGAAACAAACATAAAAATTTAAATAAATGTAAAATGTAAAATTTTATAGGCTTTAAAAAATAATTAATTCTTTCAGTGAGAACATGCCCATTTACCTAACGATAAGTATCGGCTGTAAGTGGTATGACCAGATACTTTGGTATTTCTGACCTTCCCGAAAACGGTTTTCCAACGCCGACGCACGTGTTTTGAAAACGTTTCCAATTAATTTCGTGCAAATTGCCCTCAGTGAAGCAACAAGCCGAGAGGTTGCATTTAATTTGTTTTTATACCAAAGTACAGTAAACCAAGATACTTAAAAATGGTGAGATAAATGCCGGAAGCTTTTGGTATATGTAAACTACAACGATTTTCTAATTCGCAGACTGAGGAGGTGAACCCCAAGGCATTCCCGCTGGCCGATGCCCAGCTCACGGCCAAGATCATGAATCTGCTGCAGCAGGCCCTCAACTACAACCAGCTGCGGAAGGGCGCCAACGAGGCCACCAAGACCCTGAATCGCGGTCTGGCCGATATCGTCGTTCTGGCCGGAGACACCGAGCCCATCGAGATCCTGATGCATCTGCCGCTGCTGTGCGAGGACAAGAACGTGCCCTACGTCTTCGTGCGCTCCAAGCAGGCCTTGGGCCGCGCCTGCGGCGTTTCCCGGCCGATCGTCGCCTGCTCGGTGACAACCAACGAGGGCAGTCAGCTCAAGTCGCAGATCACCTCCATCCAGCAGGAGATAGAGCGACTCCTAGTCTAGTTCCATTAGAGCTTTAAGTGAAAAGTACAAACTAATAAACATGTGTATTTTTTAATACAATTGTTTTTGTTGTTTTCAAGGCACATGGTCTTTGGTTAAAGTGACCGCAAGCCAGATATTTTAATCGAAAATAGCTAATTTGGCCTGAAACCCGATAGGCGCGCAGCACTGGTCCTTTTCCCGCTAGAGCTGCGAAAAATTTACTATAAATGTGTCGATTTATTTTCGATCTTTAACAAAATATGAACGATTAAATCGAAAACACTATTATTTGTTTTTAAATTTAATGAGATCCGTAAAAAAAAATAAATAAAATAAATTTGTTCGAATTAAATAAAGAAAATTAATGTTCAATACCATTAATAAGTATATTCTTAGAAAATAGCAAACGAAAGAAATTAAATTACATAAACCACTGGTTTTTGCTGGCAAAAACGAACTTATTTATAGTTTTAGGTACAGTGATTGTTTTAAACCCAAATCGATGCATCGACCAAAACGGAAAGAAACGATGTAATCGATGTTGACATCGATTTTCTCCCAGCTCTATTGTCCGCTCCGCCAATTCCACCATCCCGTCGCCTGCTTGGACCACCTGCACCCAATGACAACGATGCAACGCCTCCTTTGTGGACCGAGGGAATCTCTGGCTGGCTGCAAGTGACAAGCGGCGAGCGATATCGAAGCACCAACGAAAACCAAATCCTGACCAGCAACGAAGCGACGAAATGAAGCTGTTGGGCAAATACGTGGACAAGGGCATGCAGGGGTGAGTGAACCGGGTCAGGATTTACTTCAGGACTTACCTATTAATCCCGGCAGCAACATAACCCTGATGCCGGAGGAGTCGGAGGACATGTGGCATGCCTACAATCTGATAGCCGAGGGCGACAGCGTGCGCAGCACCACCATCCGCAAGGTGCAGAATGAGACGGCCACCGGCTCTTCCACTAGCAGTCGCGTCCGCACCACGCTGACCATCGCCGTGGAGAGCATAGACTTCGACACGCAGGCGTGCGTGCTCCGGCTGAAGGGGCGGAACATCGAGGAGAACCAGTACGTCAAGATGGGCGCCTACCACACCCTGGATCTGGAGTTGAATCGCAAGTTTGAGCTGCGGAAGCCCGAGTGGGACACCATTGCCCTGGAGCGCATCGAGATGGCCTGCGATCCCACACAGTCGGCGGATGTGGCCGCCGTCGTAATGCAAGAGGGCTTGGCCCACGTCTGCCTCATCACGGCCAGCATGACGCTGGTGCGTAGCAAGATCGAGGTCTCGATTCCGCGCAAACGCAAGGGCAGCGTCCAGCAGCACGAGAAGGGTCTGGCCAAGTTCTACGAGCAGGTGATGCAGAGCATCCTGCGGCACGTCAACTTCGACATCGTCAAGTGTGTGCTTATTGCCTCGCCGGGTTTTGTGCGGGATCAGTTCTACGATTACATGTTCCAGCAGGCGGTGAAGATGGACTACAAGCTGCTGCTGGACAACAAGAGCAAGTTCATGCTGGTGCACGCCTCCTCGGGATTCAAGCACTCCCTGAAGGGTTAGTTGTTAGAGATTTACTGCTTTGCATTACCTAATAATCATTTTCATTTTTAAATCTGTAGAAGTTCTTCAAGATCCTGCCGTTCTGTCCAAAATGTCCGACACCAAGGCTGCCGGCGAGGTCAAGGTGCTGGAACAGTTCTATATGATGCTACAATGTGAGCCCTCCAAGGCCTTCTACGGCAAGAAGCACGTCCTCCAGGCCGCCGAATCCCAGGCCATTGAAACGCTGCTCATCTCGGATAATCTCTTTAGGTGAGTTCCAGTCGACTGAGGCCTAGCCTTCTCCTACTCCCAGCTGAGCACACATTACGCTCAATCAAGCGGAGAGATCAAGAGCATGATCGCAAGTATAAGCAAAAACCTTCAACTTCAGAGGGAAAACAGTCTGAGACCGATGACAATTGGGGGCCACATGTCGCCGGAAAGACTGCGAATATTGGGGCACTTTAGGAAATCTGAAGAAGCGGCAATCAATTTCATTATTTGCTTGATTGTTTCTTAATTAGTTTGCTACGCAAAAAAAAAGAAAGGAAATTTTAATTGATTAAGATTTTAGAGTTTATGACTCTTAATCAAAGATGCCTCAAAAGTTATTTTTGATTTATTTAAACGTCTATTATATTTTTAAAGAATTTTTCAGTTTTTACACATTTTTTATTTCACATTTTTAAGTATCAAAGACTAAGCTCTTTACGGAAGACTTGTCTTTGTAGCCAAGAGAATCTATTTTTTATGGCCTCTCAACTAGAGATAACTCAAGTTCTACTCGTGAAAAATGTCACAAGGGTCTAGAGTCTAGACTCTAGAAAAATTATAGCACTTCTACCATTCTATCCGCTCTATGATCAACTTTGGACTCCAGCAGCGGCTACATAAACGCTTCTTCCGCTGGCAAATTCAGTAGTTTTGCTCGCAATCAGCCGCGTTTTAGCCATTTAAAGAAAGCACGTCCGAGCATTAATTTGTTGGCCTGATGGTGACGTGCTCATGATCAAGGTTGCCCCAATCAATGTCGCGTCTCCCCACCATTTTTGGCTGCCTGTCTGTTTCGGTTCTAGTAGCTATTCTCCTCTACTCTTCTCAGCCATTCTCTCGACAATGTTCTCCCCCTTTGTTTACATTTTAATGGGCCGTTGAAATTCCATTTGAGAATATTTTCGCATGCTAACCGCGTGGCTGGCAATTAAACGAGAACCAAGTGTTATAGGTTTCTTCTTATTCACTTAAAATTTTAATAAACTTAATGTTATAGGCACAAGGTGTTTTACTTTAGCACATTTAATCAGTCCGCTTTGGGTTTGTAAGGTTGCTCCCAGGCATTCTTCCTCCAATCTCAAAAATTGTTCAGATCGCAGGTTGACGCTATCGTCGACGTCGTCGTCGTCGTTGTTGCTCTGGACTCGCCTTTATCTCGACATTTTTGATTACTGCTGATTGTTTCGCCATTGTGCAAAGAGAGCAAAGAAAGAGGGGGACATATATATTATGTGAACTTTTGTTAGGTTTTCCGTTTGTCTCACCGCCTTTGCTGCTGTTCGTTCCACTGATTTTTCCGCAGTTTCTGCTGGTAAGCGGTGTCCTCCTCCAAGTCATCTCTGCTCCTCATCATCAGGCGTTTGAAGCAATCGTCGAGGGTTTCCCTCAGCGGCAGCAGGCGATGAGGCGAGGGCGGGGAATTTGGCAGAGTTCTGTGCTCCAGCTTTTTGAGGGATTCGCATGTGGTGGGTACGACTGGGTAGCCTAGCTCGGAGATGGTGTAGTCGGGCTGTCTGGTGAGCATCTTAACGAGCGGTAAGCACTATATGGACGGTGTTAAGTGGCCGGCACTTGAGTAGGAACTGGAGAGAGAAGATACAGAGTACAGAGAGTCAAGTGGAGTTGATATTTTGTCAGAAAACCCACTGAGTGGCTTAAGTGGCTTGGTATTGTTGGGTTCGACTTTATTTTATTGATTCCTTAATTTAGTTAAATATTTATTTAAGGAATTTGACAAATAGCTTGGTTTTTAGTTAGGAAATATAAACGAAGACATAAATAAGCTTATGGAAGACGTCTTGGAATGAATTTTTAAAGATTTTCTAGTGCAACAACTATTAAATCCTATTCTAGATATTATTTCTTATATATGTTATTCTTAAATAAGTATTACTTAGTTTAAAATACATATATTTTTAATCTTTAAAAACCAAATCTTATCTAAAAATAAAATAGGCCGACATTTATGTGTTGCCAATGCCCCTAATTATAAATAAATGTTCTTATCAGTAAAATGGTAATTATAAAATGAGCCATGTTGAGGAATGTTTCCGATAACTCTATACTTATTATACAGAAAGTTAAATATTTCCTTCAAATGTGTTAGCTCAGCTTTCTCCCTGTGTCCCTCACCCATTTACTCCATATCCGTCATGGTCGAAATTCGGAACTCGATTTTTGCGTGCTCTGTTTTTGGCGTCTGTCTTTTTTTTATAGAGCTGTTTACGCCATACCCGTTTCGATTAGCAAATTGCTAACACTGTGAACTAAACTCTGATGTAAATAAGCTGCACCCCATATACATATATAGGTCTTATAAACCGTGTGGAATCGAAAACCTCGACGCGTTCCGTGAGCCATTTCTTGTGCTAATTGTTAGAAACCGCTGTGGGCGCTCAGAGATGGAGGAAAAAACGGGGAAAAAAGAGAACGAAAGAAAAAGAACAGCCGCAATAAACAACAAAATAAAGAAAAAAGAATTTTAATTTATTTAATCGCTCCGTTTATGGATTGCTTTCGGGGGCAGCTTTCCAAAGCGGACAGACTCTTGTTTTTCAGTTTTTATAGGTTTCCCTTCTTGAGTATGTTCTGGGTGTTCTGCCCAAGTTACAGATACTTTTAGCAATATTTTTATTATCAAAAGAGGTAAATTTTTATTATTAACTGCTTTTAAATAAAAAATATCTTGAGTTTAAGCTCCATTAACCTATTCCTTTTGCGTAACTTATCAAGTTCTTCTATTGCAATTTTCCATTGCATTGGCCAATTTCCCTCCTCCCCTCTTAACTAGATAATTTATAGAATTTTTGTCGCATAATATTCATGTGTCCAACCAGTTTTTCTAGTCCCTCTTTGTCTTGTGCATCAAAAACGTGCCCCCTTTAAGCGCTTTTATTTGTTGTTATTTTCTGTCGCAGCTGGCCACGCTTGTAAATATTGTTTATACTTATAGTTACATATATATAAACAAATATAAATATATATGTGCATTGTGAAAGCCCTGAGAAAACAGATTCGAAAAAGTTTAAGGTTGAGCAAGAAGTGAAAGGTCTGAAAGGCCGGGTATGCACATACGATATTGATACCCTAAATGGGCGTCGAATTGTTCAATGAACACAGTTTTTATGATTCACATTTATTGGGTCCGGGTCTTGGCTTGTATTTTTAAAGGATTTTCCTTGCTTGTTTTGGAATTGTTTTTATGTTTTATGGTTGGGTGTTGTTGGGTAACCCCAATGAGTTGGCTGATTTTTGAAATGTTAACACTGCAAACTCTTTAAAATCAAGGTGTTGCCTTTAAAAAGGGGGTTTACCTAACAAGGTTTCTTTTGTTGATGCGAAGAGGTCATGAAAAATGGTTTTTTCAGCTTAAAAACATAGTAAATTCTTGATTTTTCGATTTTAAATCAGAAAATCTCATCGTACTTTGATGAGAACAGATCTTTTTGTTATCAAAACTGTAACTTTGCCCTTGTCATTTTCAAGTCTCAACTGCATTCAGAGCGTATCCAAGTTCGTTTCTGTCCAGGTCGAGTCAAGTTCACGTTCTTCCCTCCATTCCTCGCACATTTAATTACACATTTCTACGCGCTCATTCTCGCGGATATCTTGGTTCCTCAGTTTTCCCCCGCTTTCTGGCCAAAAAGTCAGGGGCTGCTTTCGGCCTCGTGCACACACGCTAATTCCATTAAACAATTGATTCCATTGTGCAATCATTGTCACGCAGCCTGGCAACGGCAACGGGGACTGCGACTGCAGCCACATACCGCTGATGGTCGGTAGCTGGGAGCAACATCAGCAGAGATTGCATGTACCGGTCGGTGGCAACAACAACAACAATTGCATTCACCAACAACAATGGCTCACAGTTCAGCGCAGCTTGCGGTTAGTATCTACTCATCCGCAAAAAAAAAAAGATTCCACAGATATATACAGGTAGCAGATGAAATTGTATCTGTATCTGCATTGCTTTCCGCTGAGTCAACGGAAAAAACTACAACTTGAAGTCGAAATAATTGGGAGATTCTGCTGCTTTCTCAACTTTCACTTTGCGAGGAAAACGCACCTTTTGGTATCTTTTTTTATGCGTAATTTGTGCACTTTTCTATTAGTTTTTCCCTTGCTTTTTGAGGTTGCTGCTGCAGTTTTGCGGGTTTTTCTCTTGTTTTAGCAGGGTCTTAGCACCAATTTTTTTCTTTTCGCGTGGCAATCTCCGCCGCCGTTGCCGGTTCGATTTCGGTTTGGGCTTCGGTTTCTTCGAGAGTCGCTCGCCTCGATGTTGCCCGCAAGAAAGCCGCTTTGCAACTAATTCTTCGCTGGGAAGACAGCCCAGACATCGGCGGCGCTCTCTTTGGCTCTGCACGTGCTGGGGCGCCTGAAGCGATCGCTCTCCTCTCACTCTCTGGGGCTTCGCTAACAAAAAAAGCGGTTTGTTGTCGTCAATAAAAATGTTAATTTAAATTGAATTCGTATGGGACATATTGTTGGAATTTTTTGCAGTTCTTATTCATACTTTCTTACCTGATAATGTTTATAATTTACACGGGGTTTTTGAACTGCACCTAGCAGCACTTATGTACATTACCCCAACGGCTGGGTGACTTCATGCTCTCTGTACATTTGGCATGCAAATCCAAGTTAAATGTGTGGAAAATGGCCACTCTTCGGGGTGGTGGGTGAGTACGGAGTGAACCCACTATTTCCAGTTAAACTTGACACCTTATTTCATGGCGGATTTAATGCCCATCACGTGCCCTGTCCGGTTTTGTGTGGAATGTGAAAGTGCAATAGATACGAGCACTTACATATCCGTATATGGGTGATAAATGGGTTTATTAATTGATTTTATAGGAATCGTATTTGTGTTGCTAGTAGTTATGATAGGTTTCCTATGAATAAAACATTTTTTCACCTTATTTTCCCTTACAGATGTCAAGACGTCAATCTCAGGAAGGAGTATGTCAATCTGGTCGAATCTGTTCGCGATGCTGGCGGCGAGGTGAAAATCTTTTCCAGCATGCACATCTCAGGAGAACGTGAGTACTGGAACAAATATATATAAATATAAGAAAGTTCAAGGAGAGAAAATATAGAAAAATAAATGGAGTTTAATGAAGGAAAGGCCTAAATATTAATTAATATGTAAAGAGGTTTTAAAGAAATGTAGACTGAGATTTATTAATTTATCTGAATATATTTTGTTTTTATTTTATTTAGCAAGAGTTTTTAGATACTCGAAATCTTAGATCACTTCCAGAATTATTTCCTGCAGCTTCCTATCATCGAAAATAGAAATAGTAGCAATGAGTCACGATGGAGTGTTGATAGAAACTTCTTCACTGATTTAATTAAGTGCATACACATGCTACTTGCCCTCTTTAACTTGAATGATAGAAAGAAGCTGCAAATATGAAATCTACATGAAAAGATCTGAAAGATGTGTACTGCAACAGCTGCTTAATTAAAATACAAAAAGAAAACTAGGAGGAAAATAAGAGGAGTTCTGCAAAAGATATTTTCTAGAACTCATAGCAAACTTACTTGCTTAAAAACCTCTATGTAATGCAAAAGTAAGAATAAAGAAAGACCAAGAATAGATCCATCTTCACTTCAACATGCATAATGTTCCACCTTTTTGTCCATTTCTATGCTCAATTTGAATATTCATGTGCAGGCATGGGCAGGCGGCTGGCTGCCTCCCCCCTGTGTGTGTCTAATGACCTCGTTAAAATCTATTTTTAAAGGCTGCGTTGCAATAGCTCTGCCTCGTAAACAAATATTTTATACACAAATGTATACATGTATGATTTCTTGGAGAGGGGTCTCCCACATTACAAAGTCCAATGCGCATCATCAATTTGCATTGAAAAGGCTGCCAAGTATCTTTTTGCATAAACACTTTCAATTTCATTTTGTCGGCAATTTAAAATTAATTAAAATTACATTTTCACATATTGCGAATATTTTCGTGGTGTAAAAGTGCTTGAAATGCTTTAAATAGCTTCGTTCACAAGTGACTCACGAGATGCGATTCCTACTTTGAGTTTCCCTTTCTTGTTTTTGGCAAGACCTGAAAATGGGTCGTTGCGGGTTTCAAAATAGATCTTCCTCAGTACTTTGTAGCTTCGATAGCAGCTGAGGAGACTGTAACGACTTGTTTCTCAAGTATTTCTCCCTCTTATCTGCTCGCAATTAAATTCAATGAGACATTTTAATCAGCTTCAAGTTACACAAGTGTATAAACATAGCAGATGAAGAGTCTTGTGTAAACAGAACAAAAGTTTAAGAAAGATAAAGGGGTTTAATGCTGGAGTAAACAAAATCTGCGTTTATTACTGCCTTAATCCTGAGTTAATTGAGCAAACCCATGAATGTGTAATGCTGTGTGAATGTGAAGTTCAGCACTTGCTTGAGTCATGGCCTAGAACAACCGGTGAGCCTTGGGATTGGACAGCAGAAACGCCCACAACCGGGGGGCATAGTAGCTGCTGCTGCTGCAGTTCTGAGATTGAGAGTAGTCACTGGGTTCAAGTATGGATGGGCTTTGTAAAGTTGACTGGAAATTCTGGTTTTCCTCGAGGTTCTACTCTTGGATTTTAAAGATATATTCTTGTATTTAATATATATTTTTATACAGCATCCTTTATCTTTATCTTTATCTCTTAGAACTTGCTCAACTGACTGGAATCGCAGCTCTCTTGCGCTTCCCCATGCCGGAACTGGAGGAAAGCGATGATGATGACGACGAAGAGGGAGCGGCGGGAGGAGATGATAGCGATAGCGACTAGGAATGAAATATATATAGAATATAATCTTGGCATTTGTTAAGAGGAGCTGTAATTGTGCTAGCGATGGATAACAAGAGTAGAGATTTAGAGAAATAGGAACCACGACAGACTTGGACTGCGTCAGGGCATATACAATATAAATAGTGCTAATTCGATACGATATATACTAGAGGTTTACGCCGATGGTTAAAGGCATCGGCGGCGGCGTAGAGGTCAAAATGACTCGGCGGCGGCGGCGTAGTAGTCAGAAAGAACCGGCTGCGGCGGCGCGTCAAATAAGGCAAAAAGGCCATTTTAATGAGTTATTTTTTTTTTTTTAAGTTTTATAAAGAACAATGACACTGAAGGCCGCGCTGAAGCTGCGCCGATGCCGCACCAGCGGCGCGCCGCGGCGCGCCGTTATATTCATAATTTGGCGGCGGCGCGTCAAATAAGGCAAAAATCGGCGGCGGCGGCGGCGTGGCGCGGCGGCGTATATGTCTAATATATACACATATACACAACCCTAAGCTAAACCCGTGGCTGGGCCTAGAAATTGTTTTAGTCAGATAATCCCACCCCACTTTCTTGACTGAAAAAGAAAGCCACAAACCAACACGAAACAACAACAACAAAAGATTATGAACTATATAAACGTTGTGTTCAAACCAAAATGGCCACAATTTTTGGAAAGCCTTGAGATAAGAAATGTTTTAAATGCTTGATTTGTTTGCTAAAGCGAAGATTTTGCTGCGTTTAACGTTGATGTACATTTTTCTATACAAATTTTAATTAACTTTTAGTGCTTAAATGCTTCAGTTCTAAAACAAAATTTATTGTTCAACATTTTGTAAAGTGCAAAATAAAAGGTAACGAAATATTCTTCCAAAATAAATGGAGTTTTAATTAAGGATTTGCAAATAAAACTATATGTTCTTGTGTTATATTTTATACATTTTCAATTGTTTATTTTATATTCCTAAAATCAAGACACTGAAAGAAAAACCCCCAAAGACTCCCCAGGCCAGCTCACTTGCCCAGCTTGGCTGCCTTGGCCGCTGCTACGGCCGCCTCCTTGCGCGCCTCCCGCTTGGCCGTCTTGCGGGCTTCTTTTTCGTCGGCCTCGATGGTGCGTCGCTTCTTGCGCAGCAGCCACTCCTCCTTCTCCTTGGTCTGCTTCTCGCGGATGAGTTTGCGGAAGAGGTTACGGTGGCGGGGCTTGACCATGCGTGCCTGCAGGCGGTGCTCATCGACCTCGGCCTTGTGCACTTGCCGCTTGTTCACCTTGTGCACTTTGCCCGACTGCACGGACATCTTTTGCTTCTCCTGCTTCAGGCGCTTAGCCTTCTCATCGAGCTCTTCCTCTTCATCGTCGTCGTCGTCTGATGCATCATCATCCTCAAGATCCTCCTCGTCTTCGTTGACGCCATCGACACCGCCGTACTTCTTGTATTCAGCAGTCTCCTCTTGGTAGGCCAACTGCAGCTGCGCATCGAGCAGCTCCTGGTCCACAGTCTCCTCCTCCTCCTTCTCGGCTTCATCTTCGGACTCATCGCTTTGCTCTGCGTTTAAGAATTAAATTTATATAAAAAAAAAACTTTTTTATTCATCCAACGAACTTACCATGCGTTTCAATCAGGGAGGGATCAAGCAGGGCCTTCTCCTCGGGCGGTATGTAGGTGTCCCGCTTGGAGTCCACGAAGGGAGACAGATGCGGCGGCAGTTTCTCGCCCAGGAAGTACTTGTTGGTGGGCAGCAGCTGGCGCTGATTCACGCAATCGAAGAGCCACTGCGGCTGGATGTAGTCCCGCGAGATGTACTGGGTGCCCAGACTGGGTCTATCCACAATCTGGTGGGTGATGGTCTCATCACTTTCGTCGTATGCAGAGCCGGGATAGATGGACGAGTCCCAGGACACCTTGCCGCCAAAGGAGCGGATGATGATGACCAGCGGCTCGCGGGGAACCTCGCGATTGATGAAGAACTTCAGACCCTTGAAGAGTGTGCGCAGACGGGCCACCTCCTGGGCCTCCTGTTTCATCTTGATGATGCGCTTCGAGTCGCCGTCCTGCTCCAGCAACTCCATATCAATGTCCAGCTCCTCCTCATCCTCCTGCACCTTGTCCGTGCGCAACAGCTCGAAATTCAGGGCGGCAATGCGATCGGACACAAAGCTAGCCTCGTCCTTTAGGGTGTCCTCATTGTCCTGGAGCACACTGCTGGGGAATTGCGGTGGATAGGCCAGATTGAGGCCATGGAACAGCCGGAAGTTGGTGAAGCCCAGCATAATGGTGTAGAACTCCACAAAGATGGACATCACCTTGAAGTCCACCTCCTGGCGGGACTGTGGCTTGAACGGATAATAGTGCGGCACAATCCAAGTGACCTTCTGGCCCTTGATCTCCGCCTGGAAGTAGTAGCCCTTGATCGAGATAAACACCTTGCGCAGGGACTTGGAGGCGATCACATAGTGCAGGAACTCAATGGTCAGCCGGCGGCACAGGTTCGACTGCTCCCTGGGAATCAACTGCAGCGAGGGGAAGGTGCTGAACAGAAAGAGCAGCGTGAGGCAGTCATCCAGATCCTTCAAAGCATCAATGAAGGTGGGATAGCGCTCCTTGACAATGTGATCGAGCTTGATTTCGGGGAACAGGGCCAGGCGACGCTTCAAATTACGGAAATCCTTGATGGCACGGTCGCGGCTGCTCTTCTTGGCAAAGATCTAAAGGATCACAAGGGTTATTACAAGTTTCAGGGGTTTTTCGTAAGCAAAACCTACCTTGTAGTCACGCAGCGTCCACACTATGGACTCGTGCAGCAGAAAGCGAATGTCCTTGGTGTGGTACAGGACCTTGATCTCTGTGGAACCCTTCTGGGCCCTGCGTCTGTGCTTCGGCTCGCGGGGATAGACGCCCTTGAGGATGCACAGCCTACGGAAATCGTTTAGCGACAGCTGCAGTTTCCTGAGGGCAGCCCTTCGGCTGATATACTGCGTGGCCTCGCCGGATTCGTACTGAAAATTACAAAGATTTATTTATTTACGCATATTCTCAAAACACATAACCTTAAAGGGGCTTTAAATGCGCCTTAAATGTTTGAAAAACCTACCTTCTTGGGGCGCCTCATGCTGTTGGTTTATGAAAATGCGTCCTTTGTCAAGTGAAATCTGTTAAAACAGATGTATTTAAAGAAAAACACGCTGGCGACCAAAACACACGTTTTTTGTGTTGTTTGGTATCGCGTGGAAGGAAAGTGTGACCGTTGCGCGGTTTTTAAATCAAACCAGTGTTGCCATTTGAACATTTGGCTCAACCCCTAAAAAATCTCAGAAAGTTGAAATCCACAGCTGATTTTCGAACCACATAAATATTGATATTGGTGTGACCATGTAGCCACAATATTTGAATTTAAATTAAAAACGGCTTTTGAGGAAAAGTGTATGATTTATTTGATTTGTTATTTAAACAATCTACCAATCCGGAAGTTAATGAAAATATTCTCCTCGAAAGACTAACATTTAAAACACTCGTCCTGTGCCATTGGATAACTCATTTTATTGAATCTGTTTTATTGTTTTGGTTTTGTTGTTTTTTTATAGGTATTGTATTGAGAAAATAACATACAGTCTAAGTTTGTTGTATTATATATAATATTCGTTATATATTAGTTAGTTTGAACATTAACTTCGTTTTTTTGTTTTTGTCCGCAACTCGCTTACTGCAGTCGCTTTTCGCGCTTTTTGTTGATAACAAAAGTTTGTTTATTAAACGGCCATTTCTCGTTTGCTGCGGCTCTGCTACAACTCGGCTATTTTCTTTTCGAAAACATTCGTGTCCTTGTGTCGTGTGTGTGTCTCTGGTTTTTTGAGTAATTGCTTTCGAAGCCTTGTTAACGGTTCCATGTAAATGTATCTGTATCTGAGTGTGTGGCTTGTTGTTGTTGTTGTATATTTCACCTAAATAACTAGTTAACATTTCGTTTTGATTTACATAAGTGTCGCCTCGCTCTGTTCTGTTTTCCACCTTCGACTTCGGTTTCAGTTAGCGGTCCTTAAAATGCTTTATATAACGTCATATAACTCTTGGTTTATATATATCTTGAGTGCCAGCCATATATGTTTGCATGTATCGTTAGAAATTGACTATATATTTGATTTTGCATTTACGCCTCGTTCGCTTTTGATGATCTCTGTTAACTGGATGGGCTGGGGGTTGGAATGATTCTGTGTGTGGTGTGTGTGTACTTTGTATAAAATCTAAATGTCGTTAACTAGACGTACTTGTATAAAGTAAATAACTCGCTGCATTACGTCGTATATTCTCATCACTAGAACCCACTCGCTGGTTCGTCAACGAATGGCCAATGAGGATGGTACTGTACTCCTTCGAGGACTAAATGGCAAACCAAATTGGGAATTCTATATTTAAAACGGTAACCTCTTCCTTTTTGTGTGTTTCTCTCATGGTTTATCGGATTATTCATACATATATAAATCATTTGTACAATCTTATGTGCTAGAAGCGTATCAGTTGTTAAAATTAATGTCTGTTATTATAATACTCTCATTGTTTGCTATTAAAAGTTACACACTCGTGTCCGTGTACTAATTACATGCCCGCTCCTGTGTTTTCGACTAAAATACACACACACTTTGTAAGGTAAAATTCAAAAGTACAACGATCCAAACTCAACAACGACAATATATAACGATAACAACGCAAAATTGTTTGGTGGGTAATGATAACTGTATTACACACGACGGCCATATGTTCACGCGCTATATATCTGGCTGATCCGCTGATCGCTGGCATTACAAATAAGAAAATAAACGCATCCGGTTTATACACTTATAAATTTGAAAACGCTATAAAATCGTTAAATTAGTCTACCAATATGTTAACTATTACTTTTTACTGGATTTCATATATCGTATTCCGTATTTCGTATTTGATTCGTCATCGATGCTAATTGGTAATCGTTTGGTTTCCTTACGTCGAACACAAAAGAAAAATCGAAAACATATCGAAGCCGCAGGCAAACATATCGATTGACAATTTATTATTGTTTGCTGTGTTTCAGTGTCTAAACAACGGACGCAACTTGAAACTGTCTCTAAATATCTTGTATAATTGAATATAAGTATATTTTGCATACATTGCATTTCTATTCTGTATTCGTTATCGAACGGAGTATTAAAAAAAAGTAATCCCTTGGAGCGTGTGTTGCACAGACACTATCTACTATATATGGTACATATACTGGTTTATAAAAGTTAGTAAATATATATTTATATATATCGGTTTAGGTCTAGTTCGTAGATTATTTAAAGCTGAAAGGTAATGATTATGTGCTCGTTCGTTTCCCGTTATTACTCGTAGACGTTATATGTGGTATATATATATATCGGTATCGGTATCGGTATTTATTGATCAAGACGATTGTTATAGGTGATTGACTTGAGAGCGCGTGATTAGTAATGGCCAGATCGATCTATAGAAATGCTACCGTATTGTGGTCTCTCTGTTCTGTGCTCGTGTGTTTGCTAATTTTTGTTTTGAAAACATCGAAGGAACATCGAATAACACATATAGTCATGCCAATTACGTTCAAATAATACGAATCGAATAGTTGGGTATACTTACGGTTGGATTTTTCTGCAAAGAAAAACTCAAAAATTTGGTAGAGGACACAAAAAAATTAGCAAACACATAACTTCTTTTTTTTTTTTTTTTAAGTAAGTTTACTCTTTTTTGCTTTAATTTCAAACAATGATTTTTATTTTCATAGTTAAATATTTCATAAAGTATATATAGCATTACTATATCTTTCGATTCAATTTTTGGTTTGTTTGTTCTGCTTTTTCGTTATTATTATTATTAATATTATTACCTTCCTTCTGACGCTTCGTTTATGCTTTTGTTTTTTATGAACGCTTTTGCTAATGTTTCAACAATTTTTTTGTGTTTTTGTTTCACTTTTACTTTTACTTTTTTACGCAATTATTCAACTTGTTAAAAATCTATAACCATAACAATTTCATATATATATATATCTGTATATATATGTTTCTTGTATATATTTCCTCTTATTTACTTTGCTTTAAAGCGAGACTTCTACGGCCACTCGACATTTGTTGTGTGTTCGGTGTGTGTTTGGTGTGCGTTTCGGTTTTAAATGATTCTGGAATATGGGTGGAATAGTAGGTGTCGGGATTATTCTTTTCCTGTCCATGGAGGATGCAGGGGGATCTGGGCATGAGAGAAGTGCCTCGGAACAATCGTTTCGATCACAAAAACAAAGCTAAAGTTCATAGTTCGTTAACAATTTCCCTGCGGAATATCGTCGTAGTCCCAACCCTTGGCTTTAGTACCTATTTTATAGACAGAAGAGTGGGGGCGCGATATGTGTGAATAATATAGGTTTTCATGGGCGTCGTGTGTATGTGTGTGTGTGAGTGAGTGAGGGAAAATCTTTAGTACAAGTAATTGCTGGGTGTGCTTTTCCACGTTTTGTTAGGTTCTAATAAGATGTAGTTAAGTATGAGTGTATTTTTCGTTTTTTAAATAATAAATATGACTTGGTTTTAAAGTTAATTTGGAAGATATTTTTTTAAGGTTTTTTTTCTATGCGTTTTTTGTTTTTGTTATTACGTTGTTGTTGTTGTTTGTAGTTAAACATACAGCTTGTATAAAAGTTTAAGTTAATTTGTTGTTTGTTCTTTTTGGAAGTTGTCTCTGTTAAAGCCCGCTGACCGAGGCAATCCTACTCGTGAGAAGTGAGCTTGCTAGTTGAGGATATATACGATAAAAGTGCTTCTTCGTATATATCGATGGACTAAAGTTATTAATTTTTATTTCGGGGATTTCGAGAGGTACAATGAGAAAGGCTGGGAGAGGCTGAGAGGGCTAAATTGCTTTCAAAGCGAGTTTTAGACAAAATAATTCCTATAGTATAATAGTTATTAAAATTATAGAAACATAGTGGAGGGTCATAGTTTTTTGTATAGGTTTTTAAAAGAGTTTTAAAGAAGGACTTCTGTAAAAGTTATTCTTTCTAACATATCCTATCTAAATTAATATTTTAATATATTTTTTAAATGAAATCTAAAGTATATAAGGGATAATGTTTAAGGCTTTCTCAGCCAGCTCTTTGCTGGATTTTTCTAATGGGCCAAGGAAGGTGTTGTCATGGTGTTGTCTGTTGTGGAGAGGTTGTGACCTGATGTAAGCCTCGTTCAAGTTTTATACACTGTCTCCATCTCCATCTCGTTCCCAGCTCATCTTCAGCGCCAATCTCCGGCCTCTCGTCCATATCCTATACGCGTATTATTATTATTTATTTATTTATATGGTATTTATAACTGTGTGCAGTTGAATGCACAGCACCCATGGGGTGTAAGAGCAGCCATTAAGTTGCATTAATTCTGCATCTGTATCGGCATCGGCATCGGCATATGTTTCTGCTTCTGTTCAGTAGAGGCAGCATCTATATATATATATATACTTGTATATTCCATGCATATATAATTATTTACGATGCGTTTCAACTGCTGTTGTTCGATTTTTCGCATTGAGACTCACATATCGTACATGTATAGTGCGATGCCACTGCTTCCTCTAATTCATAAAAATTATTGCTTTCTGTTCGAGTGTATCTGTATCTGTATCCGTGTTTCTGTATCTGTGTGTGTCTGTGTTTTGTGGGTCTGTCGTTTCCTTAACTTGACTGCGAGCCATATGCAAACGTCTGGATATCCGTAAGATACATTGCCTACTTAAGTATAGTTGCATATATATATATGTATATAGTAAGTTATCTTCTGTTATATATAAAATATATATATGTATGTATATAATTAGGTGTATATATGTATGCGTTTTATGTTTATTTACTTGGATTTCGCCTCCAGTTAGCATTTCTTTGCGGCCATTTTTAGGGATTTTTTTGTTTTTAGTTTTAGAAAAATGTTACGTACCTTCTAAATAAAGAGAGCAAGTTGATTTTGTTTCATATTTTCGTTAAATATCGTCTTATATGTCGTTTATATATATATATATATAAATACGTTAATATATATATGTACTTGGGGGACTTCATTAAGCAAAAAGTATATGAAATTAGTTTTGGTTTTTCCTTAGTTTTTTTTTCTTCTTTTTTTGTTTGTTTTTAGGCTTAGTTTTCTTGGATTCGAAGTATAGTCTATATAATAAACATGGTTTCAATATAAAGTTAAATTTAAACTCTGCTCCTCTCCTCTACACACCAACAAGAATCAGAATTAGAATTAGGATCAGAACTAGAATCATAACCATAACTAGAATTAGGATTAGAATTAGGAATTAGGAATTAGAATCGGACTCTGGAATCGGTTGATAATAATCGATAATCATAATGCTCTGGTTCGGATGTATGGCAAATGTTTTAGGTAGTAGCATTTCCTACGTGTTCCGAGTATATTTGTAGCTTACTTTGAGAGAGTTTTTCATTCTTTCTTTTTTTTTTTTGTTTTTTGGTTTGTCGATTCGTTCGTACGCAAATTATCACTTAATCATATATATATATATATATATATATATATATATATATATAGTATGCCATGTAAGTGTGTGCGTGTGAGTGGGTATATAAGTATTATGCGTACAAGTCGTAAACTAGATAGAGTTTAGAGATAGAGGCTCTGGATAAAGCTTTAGGAGAAATCGTAGTAGAGCACGCAACTGAAAGGCATCTGCTCGATCAACACAAAACACGTTGTATGCGCTCCTCGCTCCACATTCTATCGTACCGTATCGTATCGCATCGTTATCGTATCGTATCGTATCATTCGTACCGTATATAGGGGGTGCCCATTTGTGCCAAGATATCATATATATATATATATTTTTTAATAGATACGTAGTTAAAACCCAAATAGTTTAGATAGTTTAGTAAGAGAGAGTGGTGGTGGTCGGGAAGCCATTGTCTCGCTAATATGGCTGTAGAGATAGCAGATACGATAGGGAGGATCGGGAGCAAAGGTTTTCGTAGAGTATAGGCCATATAGGGTGTGTGTGTGTCGGTGTCGGTGTCGGTGTAGGGCTTGCGTTAAGAAGCTGCGCGGCTAACACTTTAAAGTAAATGTCTTTCGAAAAAGAAACGCTGGCACTAACGAACTCGCATTTGTTAACGTTAAGTTTCATCATCGTGATGTGTGATTGTGGCTGAGTGAGTGTGTGTATGTGTTGTGTCCTGTGTGTGTGTTTTAACAATTCGATTATTTAGCTTTAGTCCTTTTTGTTAATTAATTTGCTATCCATTCATTAATTCGCTTGTATATAGTTTAGCTAACTGGATGTGAGGTCGTATCCTTGGGGCTTCCTCCTCCTGGATCCGCATCCGTTTTGGACACCCGGGGTGTCCTCGGTAACTGCCTGGTATGTTTGTCTTTGCCCTTGCCCCTTACACCGGGCAAGTGATCAGATCGTATTCGAACATCAGCGAGACGGCGACAAAGACAAAATACAGCAGAAACATGGTGAAGCCCAGTCCCTTGTTCATGCGCCAGCGGAAGCAGGCTATCGATAGCACCACGAACACCAGCATCATAAACAGGATGGTTATGGAACAGACCATGCCCACCGAGTTCACCTCCACGGGCGCCCCATAGATGATGCCGTACAGCAGCCAGGGTATGGGCAGGCTATATGGGGGAAGGGGTTTCAGTTCCAGTTAGTTTTGCCTTCTCCTTGGGTTAATATTCTATAAAGCCTGCTTGGTGCACACTCACCCCACGGTCACGTCGAATATGTTGCTGCCCACGGAACTGGACACGGCCATGTCGCCGAATCCCTTGCGTGCCACAATCACCGAGGTAATCAAGTCCGGAATGGATGTGCCCGCTGCCAGGAAGGTCAGGCCCATGACCTATTGGGTTGGAAAGAATATGGTTGAAAAAGGGTTAATCAGCTGCAGGCTAAAGCAGGAGAAAGCTCCTCTACACCAAGAATATTTTTTTGGAATTAAAATCGAACTGAAATCCGACCAAAATTGCCTTTATTAACTACACTGGAAGTGAAATTTTTAAGGGAAACGGATTCATATTAACAAATATTAAAAAATTTAATGTTCTTTTAATTATTTTCAGTTTATCTTTTTCTTCAACTTTTTCCCCTTGATGAGGAAAAGGCGCTTTTGGCGGATTCAGGGATTATCTTCAGCTGTGTATACCTCGGGCGGAATTCGGGCCGTGTCGCCGGCCACATTGGCCCACCAGACCATCAGGTAGGAGAAGGCCGCTATCCACACAATGGAGCCTATGAAGGTGACCGGAAAGAAGCGTTTGCCGCGCGGCGTCCGCGTGTCGGGCAGTGTTAGCCACATGGGCACCAGAAGCGGGGCCACCAGGACGTAGGTGAGCCGTTTTCGCGCCGTATCCGGCCAGGCCATGCTCAGTGGTTCCGGCTCATCCTCGATTTCGGGCGCCTTTTGTGTCGGCAGAGTGTGGTGGGAGATAGATATTCGATTAGGGCTTGGACCGAACTGGACTGCAGTCGAGTGGTTAGATGTTAGTCTTAGCCATAGTATATGGTTATATATATATATATAATATTGAATATATAATACGGAATTTGTTGTATAAAATATATAGTAAAAATGTGGGTGTTGTGAGTGAGTCAGTGGGTGGTGGTGGCGGCGGTTGATTGATTCGATTCGATTCGGTCTCTGAGGTGGAATGCTTTCTGAGCTATGTTTACAGATGTGTCATGAGTCGGGTTTCACTGGTGGTTTACTTGGATATATATTTTGTCAAAATTTCGATTCCCGGCTGGGGGGAGAACTCACTCACAGACAGGCGGAGATCGGGGAGGAATCGGTGTCAATATCGAGTTACTTAGTGTGATACGAGTTCCAAATGGATGCACTTACTTCTACTTAGCGGGGCTACACAATTACGATGCGATGCTGATTGGTGCTGGGAGGAGGAGAAATGGTTGGACTTGAACGTGAACGTGCAGAGATCAATCAGCATCGCGGGTACAGTGGTGCTACGGTGCATTCGTACAGTGGGCATGCTCAGTAAGTCTAGTCTTGCAAGTGCAACGACACACACAGTCTACACAGAGTCGACTACAGTCGATCGGAGTCGAGATATCGTGAACGAAAGTAGAAAGTAAATCCGGTTAAAAGGAGTGACTAGATCTATAGTTCATATCACTAAGCTACTCGAGCTCTACTAGTGTGTAAGTGTGACATCATAACAGCAAGTGTGTGTGTGCGTGTCTTATATATTTTCTTAGTATTATTAGTTTTATTAAGTTAGTAGGTGACGGTATTCGGTGGCCTTGCAAAATGCAAAAACTAAGTGGAAATTTATATGCGATCTACACACTCCACGCTCCTGGCCAGTGACCATCGTTTGATTCAGGGTTCCCACCTGGTGGGAATCTCTATATTCGGGTTTTTATCGATCAACACCGCTACAAATATGGGGTTAGTCATTAACAGCTTGTGGTTTCTGGACTTGGTATTATGGGCAATTATCATTAATCATCACCTTGACTTGATGTGCTTTAATTTACGATATTGTAATTAGATATTTTATTAGATCAAAGGTGTATTGTTGGCGCCTTTAATTAATTATAGTAATTTACAGAGTTACAACTATTAAAAAAAAAACATTTTAGGATTCTATAGCAACTGTATAGTTAGTATTTTATTTTTTAATTATATATTTTGTTATGATATATTATTTACGATATTCAATTTATATCCTAGAAATACCTTTTAACTTTCTTTTTGGAATATTAAAAAATGTATAAAAATAGTCCAAGATCTTAAGGATCTCTACTTTCCTTCAGATTATAATATATTCATATTCTATATTTTATCAAGTCAAAACCCCACTTCAAACGAGGCCACAGTCAAGGAGCTTCAGTGTTCGATACGCGTGCCTTTATCCGATATTCTCTTTGTTAATTTGTAGAAAATAAAGAAAAAACAACACTTTTATTGTTTACGATATATAGTTGTTGTCGTTAGAAATGATAAAGATCGTATGCAATATATAGAAGAGCGAAGATAGGTAGATATAGAGAGAAAGATAGATAGAGAGAGATCAATAAAATTTGTTCATGAAACTAACTTTGATGCTAAATTTGCGTGTCTGAATTTTGACCCTCTGCTCAATCCAGCTAGGACGTCGACCACTCAACGATGGCTTTAGGTTGATTTTTCAAGATATATAATACAATATATATATATATTTTTGTATGGGGCAAGTAGTTTGGGAGAAGAGTACACATTTAAATAAGTAAATATTTCATTTTCCGCTCTTCTGCGGCCAACTTCTCAGAATCAGATCAGTTATGGAAATAAAACTTTGATTAAAACTTAAGCTGTTGGTAAAAAGTTGAAGACTTTCAGGGGATTAGACAGAAAAATAGATAGATAGACTGTTCGCAATGTGTAGAAAAGAGAGGTGTGGGGAATCGGGGGAATACGTTACAAACACATACGGAGCGGGAAATAGTTGAAACACAAACACAGTTTCCTTTTTATTGTGTAGAGGGATTTTTCTTTTTAATTTTCTTCAAGAGCGAGGGCCAACTCGGAAAAAATTCGGTTTGAAGCGGCCTGCGGGGCCAGCCATGTTGTGTCTAATTGTGAGTCGAATTCAAATGACGGTGGCGGTAATTGAGGCGAGTCAGCACCTCAGAATTTTGTTTGTTTGCTTTGTGATCTTTGCATAAATCAAGAACAAAAAAGAATGTAATTAATAATCAACTAGGAAGCGGGCTTATCCTCGGTTAGCCGAAGTCTGAACACCCTTGCAGATGGAAGTAGAGAGCGGTTTATTAAAAGAATAGCCCAGACTTTTTTTATAGACGTGAAAAAACTATTAATAACTATTTGCTGCAATCTATATACTTTTATGGAATTTTTTTTTTAATATTTAAATATCGATTTTAAATACTATTAATGATTTCTATTAGCTCTTTCTTCTTAATGTGGCTATGTTTTCAGTAAACCCAATACACAATTTAATTTATTATTTTACCATTAAGACTTTAATTAAGCCAAGAATTTTGTACGATTTTGGAATAAGTTACTGAAAAGCTACTGCATGGAAATCTTCAATGAATTTTGAATTCGAATTATTCTAAATTATTTTTCATCGATAATTTCGATATTTGCATATACAAAGTTGTTGAAATAATCGATGTCAACATCGAGGTTCCAGATAGACTAATGCTGAGATCATTACCAAACGAAACGGAACTCCCTGGGAGCCTCTGCAAGGGGTAAAGTGGGTTGTGCTCTCAATGAGCATCCGGAATGCAATGCTACTAATGTCTATGGCTTGGCTGATTTTTCTTTATATTAAAAATACTGCTTAGCTGATGGGGGGGAGGCCAAAGCCAAGTGCTTGCGCCTATGCATAAAAATGTTGACTTTAACTGAGAATATAAGCGATTTACGGGCACACACTCCCCGGGGGAGTGTGGTGCTGTCGTTGGGTGTGTGTGATATCGGTGATTTTGGGCGCAGCTACTTTGCATTGGAATGACTGCATCGCATCGCTTTGCTTCGCACATCAATGAAATATGAATGGAAATTATAATATGCGAGGCGCAATAATGACTGGGGTTCTCCCCTCAGCGGTATTGTTCGGTATTTACTGTATATATTGTTCTTGTCGGTGGTGGAGTAGTGGTGGTTGTTGGTTCAACGCTAGGTACGAGTAACGAAATTAGGTAAAAGACACAAAGCAAATGAGTTCCAAATGGGTCATACGGTACGAGTATACGAGTATGCAAAAATTTCACTATTCCGAATTAGCTCTTCTTATTATTCTGGGGCAAGACAAAACACACACAGAAAGATATAGATTGGTAGAATAGGTAGAATAGATTGATAGTTCGATAGAGATGGATGGATAGATGTGGCCATGAAGGTACTCCGTAGGGTGGCAAGAGATAAACATACACAAACCAAAAGGATAAGACAGAGGGGGAGTGGAGTTGAGGCGTGTGTTAGTGACAGATAGAGATAGATAGAGTGTGTGTGTGTGGTGGGTGGGGATGGGTTGTGGGCTGTGGGTGGGATTCGTTTTTCTTTTTTTTGAACAGTTGAATGGAAAAGAATTCGGGCACAAATCGTTGTTTAGTTAATATCAAAGTTAAAGTAAACCGAAAATCCATAAAAAAGTCACACATAAACGTTGCATAAACACACAGACAGATCTTTCTGTATATATTCTCTTTTTTTTTTTTTTTTCTTCGGGGCGGACTTGACTTACTGCCTAAACACATTTATATATTTATGCAATTGACACTTTTGGAAATGAAACCTCCATAAAAACACCAGTGGGAAAACATCAAATTGGAAAAGGAGAGGGAAAGAGTATACATCAAAACATATATAATTTTGTATGTGGAATGGGAAAGGGCATAAAAAACACACCATGGTTCAGTTTAGAATCAGTTCAAACGTTGCTTCAATCGGTTAACCAATCAGTTGCTCAATCAATCAATCAATCAATCGATTAGCAATGCAAAGGAAACATGCCAACACAGCTAGAATTGGAAAATGGTGTGTATATATTTTTGTGGGTCGCTTGAACTGGTCGCTAAACCCTGCCTGTCTAGCAAAACTAGGTAATAGATCAAATTGGAGTTTGTTTTTTGCCGGTTTTCATTTCTTTTTTGGTATTGGGAAACACAATTTAATGCTGACAATAACGATAGTTGATTAACGATTATCATGAAGGAGCTTTCAATGTGTTTAAATCATACATATATAATATTCCTGCTATAAGACATTGTTTGGTGTCACAAATAATTATAGATTTCCCTGTTTTGAGTTAAATTTTAAAATTTACGATATTTTAATTATTTTAAATTTATTGTAAATCTTGGATTGTTAAAATTTAAAGCATTTAATCTTTTTAGTTTACGATAATTAAATTACGATATCAGTCTTACGATATAATTTTACGATATTAAAAAAAATGTTGCCTACTCAAAATTAATCTTGATTTCAGCGGTAATTAAATATCCTTATTTTGATGACCGATATTGCCTGAATTGTCATTTAGTCGCTTGTATGAAGAATGCAGCGCATTTTGTGTGACACAATCAATCAGTTTTTATATATTTTCCAAACCAAAAAGAAAGACAATAATAATAATCGTAAAAGAGTAATGTTAAAAAATCATAAATTTCCAACTTAAAATCATGCCTAAGGAAAATCATGAGCATCATAAATTATTTCATTAGCACTGCTCACTCGAAATCAGGCAACGGATAGAGGGTGACTTACCGAGTCGAGGGTGGTGTCGATATTCCCGTTGGGACGATCCCCAATGGTGGTCTCCTTGAGGTTGATCTTGACGTGGTTGGCCGCCGAGGTGGTGGCACCACCGCGCTGCGGCTTGGTGGCATCCAGCAGCACCTTCAGCGAGGCGATGGCGTGCAGCTGTGTCGCCTTCTCGTCCACTTTGCCTGGAACATCATCTTTGTCATTGTAATTGTGTGTGGTTTTTTTTTTTTGCGAGTGTTTTCGAATAAATCGATAAGAAATGCAGTGTTTGTTGTTGTTGTTTTTGGTTTGTTTGTTGGTACACAAAACACGAGAGTGTGTGGTGGTGTTGGTGGTGTTAGAATAGCGTTGTTGTCGTTGTAGAGTAGTGTTTGTGCGGTTACGGTATTCGGTTTTCGATTTACGGTTTTCGATATTGTTTTTGTTGACACACAACGAATTGAGTTTTGAACGCAAAATCCAAGTGTTTTTATTTTTTATTTGATATTTTTGGTTTGGTATATATTTTTTTTTGCGAAAAATTAAAAAAGAAAAAAAGAAGAAAAAGGAAAGAATAAAATTGCATCGATTAAAATCAGAAATAAACGAATTAACCCAGTTACGAGTTTCATTTTCAGATTTGTAGTTTGTTTTCTTTCTTAGAGCTTTTTAATTTACAAAGAAATTCATTTTGGGGGATTTTTTTTGTTTTTTTTGGATTGGATCGTTCATATACGCAAATATATGTCTATATGTATATTGAAAATATTTTATACAAAATGTTGATGTCAGTTGCGAGACAGCATTTGGAGGTTGCTTGAGTAAGTCGAGACAGTTACGGGGTTAGCGGATACGGATAAAGTCTAGTCTAGAGTTATCTTTTTTATTTCGGGAGGGGGTTTTGGCAGAACAGAGCAGTAGAGAGAGACAGAAAGAGAGAGAGCGAGAGAGATAGAGAGCGGGGGGAGCAGACTAGGACTACGACTAGGACTAGATATAGTAACTAGGACTAGGCTAGAGATCACTACTGATATTTACCGTGTCAGAGGCTCTTGGATATTCGGTCTAACTTTGTCTCAGAATCGGAATCAGCTTAGATCCGATTCGATCTATTGAGTGTGAACTTGTGTTTTGCACTAGGAGCAGATTAGTATTTCGATCTGGTTTTTTATGATAATGTTAGAGGGATCGGACGGCGGGGTTTTTTTCTGATGGCTTTTCGATATTCAATTCAATTGGATTTTTCTGTTGTCAATGAACGGCATGAAGTTTGCTTTTGAATTTACATTTTCTCTTTCAGGGGAAGGCTACGTTATATTCTTATTTTTTGAAGAGACCCCCTTCTATAGCACGGCTCTAGCTATATACATATACATATGTGTGTATATATGTACACGATTCCGTTGGTCTTACAGCTAAGCTAAGCTTACATTTCTATAGATCGCTTGTGTGTGTTTATGGAGGGGTTCTTAGGTCACTAAAGCTATCGATATCCTAACGTTGGTTTTCTTTTATTATTGTTTGATATACAGACCTAGAGAAGAACATGCTCATTCAGAGAACTGAGAGCAAAAGCTCGACTAGATTTTGCGATGGGAATTGTGTTCTTAAGTCCAACTTGCTAAGTAAATCAATTTGAACGAAATCAAGGTTTTGTGACAAAGATTTCCGCCACTTCTTGGCCGGATTTCCAGGCTGTGCAGGCCCCAAAAACACAATTCCCATACAACGAGCATAACGAGTTGAAAGAAACGCACAGTACATATAAGTAAACAATATTTTTGACGAACATTCCAGTGACAAAAAGCGATCGGACCTATGCAAAAACACAGCCTCTGAAACGAGCTCGACTAGTCGCACATGCACCGGAGCTCGTTAATTGTTTTGAATAGTTTTCTATCTACTCGGATGTGTGTGGATGGGTGTTTAGTGTATAATGTAGCTGAGTCTGGTACCGACTTGTGGCGAAACAGCATTGCTGCGAGCCAATTGTACTAGTTGCTAACTAATTACAATTTCAATTACAATTACAATTACGATAATGATTACGTTTAACACATACAACATTAAAAACGCATAGTTCAATATGTACAGTATAAATTGTTTTGTTTTTGTCACGCGTCAAACTCAACTCAACTCAATCTGGCAGCAGTCGGTGGCATAGGTACTAGTATTCAGGCATATATTAGATATAGTATATATCGTAGCTAGTACTTGGTACGTGTGCCATTGAACTGCGCCAGCAAACTCTAGGAATTTATGATAATCTCTCTAGGCTCTAAGATATATAACGCATATGTATATATATATATATAGATATTGGTATAAATGTAACTCCAAACTGACATTGAACAACATAAAATATTTTCTTTATTTTTGTATTAAATTTCTTGTTTTTTGTTTTTGCTTTTCTTTTTTTTTATTGTTTCATTCTTTGGTTTTGTTGTTTGTTGCAACAAAATGAAAAACAAAGCCGAAAATAAATCAGTAAATAGCATTTCGGTGAAGCATCAGCAACTAAAGGCGAAAGAATAAACACCTGTAAGGCCCCTCCTACCTTGCCTGACCTATCAAACAAGCTCTGATTGAGATTCACTTTGGGTTATAGATACAATAACTGAATCATCTAATTAATGGTAAACGGTTTCGTGGCTTGTACATGGGGAATTTTAGTCTAGAAAGCCCTGATGTCTGTGTTGGCTTTGACAGGATTATGCGATCGGTAATATATTCTAGATAGTTTAATTAATCATTTTTAATTGTTTTAGAGGAATCTATTAATTTTGAGCTTAATAACGTTGTATTGTTAGTACTTAGAAGCGATTCATTGAAGACTAATCTGGTGGAAATTAGAACTTGTAAATGGGAAAGAAGAAAACATTTAATTATTCGATCGATTTATTGGCACCTATGTATATAATAATTTCAATTGGATTTGGATTGACATCTGAAGGTGAAGGCTACGCTACAATTTCAAAGTGTTCGCTGCGAACTGAACCTTCCCCAGCGATTTTTCACCTGTCCGCGAGTTGAGGTAGGCCCACTTGGAGCTACACGAATTCTAACACCTCGCACCTGCGAACCTTGGCGAGCACGCCCCTGAGTATTGCCTCATTCCGAATCCAAAATCCGACTCCGTGTTGGATTCGTTCGTGGTTCGCTGTGGGCCATTGCCGTGGCAACGACACCGATAGCCGAGGCCTTCCTACACATTTTCCACATTTTTCATGGGTAGATACACGGCCGAGAGCCGAATCCATACCAAATCAATGGTGGAAAGTCATCGGGGCCAAGCTGATTGGAAACTTTGCAGAACTACAGACTCTATCCTGTTTTGGGGGATATTGATATCGCGATGACCTTTCCCTTCCTGTGTTTCTTACACAAAAAGGAAACGGAAGGGTTGAAGCTCCTAGCTCTGTCGTTGGCTCTATTTTCCCTCCTATTACTATTTTTTGTGTTACTTTTTTGCTTGTTTTTATTCTGTTATTTTTTTTTTTTGGTGTTAGTTCGCGTCGACGCTCCGTCTGGGCCTGGCGTGCTAATTAGGTAAGTGGCTCCAAGGTCGCCATTAAAAAAGTGAACCAAAGGCAACGAAAGCTAAAACCAAATTGAAAGAAAAACAAAACAAACCGAACGGAGGCAAAGAAGAACCAAACGGAACTGAGGGCAACAACGCAACGTAAAAGCGAAATGGAAGTGAAAATCGGAGCATAGACATAGATACAGATACAGATATAGTAATTGGGCAGAGCGACAGAAGTGGAAGGATGAGCGAAAGTAACTTCTGGCTGGCAAGTCAAACATCCAATTAGAAGAACACAGAAAATTGTATACAGAGTTCGAGGTAACGCAACCGAAAAAAGTAGAACGAAAAACAGAATAGAACGATTTTGTACTTTTTGGAACAGAGATATAGATAACAGGTAAAGGTACAGGTACAGAGTATATATAGTATATAGTAGAGTAGAGTTTGGATGTTATATTGCATTTGTATATTTATCTTATTTTGGATGTAAGCGTGGGTGGTCTGGGAATATCACTTTGGCAAAAAATCCTAAGTCATGAATAAGTTTTCTTTTGTCATTAAAAATACTATAATGAAGAAGATAAACTTTGAATCATTTTCTTTAAATTTTTACTGAGCGCTGAGGAAATATATATTTGCCAAGCGTGTAACATCATAAAAATATACAATATTTAAAGTGAAAGGCAATACAACAGCACAGCAAAACGAGTGTCACAAAAATTACTCATACGCCCTGTGTGTTCGGTTTCATTTGTTTCGACATTTAGCATTAAAGCGTATGGCAGATTTACATTAATGAGCTTTAATTTAAATAATGTAATCAAGTAGTTGTAATTGTTTCAATATCAAAATACTCTTTGTTCTTTACCAAAACTATATATAATATTTTACTGAAAACTTGTGTTGTATGTAAAGTTGCTACTTTAAAGTCTTTTTGAAAATATTAAATCTTCAAATAATATTTTGAATTCTATTCTTTTATTATTCTGGATTGCCTTAAGATTTTTCTCTCAGTGAAGGAGTTGGGGAAATGGAGTTGGGACTTGGAAAGTGGGAACTAGAGGCTTCAGGACCTCTGGGAAGTTGCGGACTAAGGTTGATGCGGTAAGCGGGGAATTTCATTATGGGGACTTTTAGTTGCCAAATTTCTTTTTATTTATTTATTTTTTTTTTTGGCAATTGGCTTATTTTTTTCTTGGCTTTACTTGTGCAAAACACACTGTGGCAACTCAACGGACTTACCATCGTGTAGTGGATCTATCGTGTGTATCATTAGCTGTAACAGGCCGTGGCGGAACTTGGCGCCGGTCTGAGTACTACCCGAGGTGCCGCCCCCGCCGCTGCTATTACCTGTGGCGCCCGCGTTGCTCGAGCCCGGCGGACCCGAGCGCGTTTCGCTCGCCGCACGCGATGTCACCGAGCCGCCCGGCTGGGTGGCCATCGATGTTTCCGAGGAGTTGGCCGCATTACCCTGCAGGTGAAGGAACGGAACGGAACAGTGGGTGGCGTTGGGTTTTTTTTTTTGGTTAGGTTTGCGGTAACCATAACGGCATAGGGTTACGGTTACGTTACGGTTACGTTTACGATTACGGATTGGGGTTTTTCATTTGATTTTTGTTTTTTTTTGGTTTGATTGATTTTTCGAGTTGTGGTATTTTTTCGAAAGAGCGGTGTTATGTTCATTATTGGTAGTTTTTGTTAAATTTTTTTTGGTAATGGTAAGCATATTTCGAGAAAAAGGTGAAAAGAAGAAGAAGAAAAGTTTATTATTGCAATTTGTATAAATTTACAAGTTGAGTGTAGCTTTTTTAGAGGGTTTTTTTTACTGTCATGTTGCTGTAGTTGTTGTAGATTTGTTCTGGTTGTGATAACTGTTGTTGTAGTTGTTGTTGGTGTGGGCTGTTGGTGTAGTTGTTGTAATTGTTGTACTTGTTGTTGGTGTGTGACTTAAGAACTAATCGAATCGGTAAGTGCAAGTTAGTTGGGGAGCCAATATCTGAACGGAAATCAGAGAACATTAACCAAAAACACAAAAAGTAAGTAAACTGATAGAATGATAGAAAAATATATACGTAATACCGTTTACCACAACATCCAACACAATATGTTACGATACACGGACCACTTGCGATCGAACTGTGCAGCTGATCTAGGAAATATATATAGTACAGTCTGGGGATCAGAGAGAGAGAGAGAGAGAGAGAGAGAGATCGACAGTCTGGAACTTACATTCGATTGGCTCTTTGACCTTGGCTGTCAAAGGTGGATGTTTGGAGGAGTACGAAATATATATATAACAAGTTTCAGAAGGTTCTTATTTTTTTTTGTGCAACAAAATAAACATATCGATCGGTGCCAAGTCAACACTTTCATTTATTTACAGAAGGAAAGTTGTAGAAGTAGTAGGTGCTAAGGATCGATCTTGAAAGTACCTTGCCCCTTTAGGAGTCGTATATATATACACATTACAAAATCAAAATGATATAAGTTCGAGGATGAGGGAAAACAAGAAGAAACGAGAAGAAACGATGAACACACACTTTTCGTATTTTTTTTGTCGTTGGAAATTTTTTCTGTTTGTCTGTTGCAACAATTTTTGTTGGGGTTGTTTTTTTTTTTTAAATACATACAAGCTTTATATGACTTTTTCTCTTTGGTAATTTCTTTTCTTTGTATATATATTTTTTAAAGATATATCTGTATTTGATATTTGTCAAAGCGCAGTGGGAAGTTTTGTTGTATTTCATTTTGCCTTCACTATAATCAAAAAGAAACAGATAAAACACAAAACACATTTGGAAAAACTTTGTCAGAGAACTGAAACCGAAAAAAATACATTTTCAATCGATGCGAATTAATTGTTGGCACATTAGCGAAGGAAGCGCAGGCAGATGAGGGATTCGGATCGGATTCGAAATCGGTGGGTTTAACTAATGCAATTGCAAGCACTAACTATAAGGCTACGAGAGTGTCTAAGAGGTGTACTAATTATACGATATTTACGATATGAGCGGGATGGTGACTAATGGGGACTCTAATGAATGAATGGAAACGATATGATAATTGGCCTGGTACCTGATATACTATATATATTTTGTTTACTCTATATGCCTCAAAGTGGTGTAAATGAGAGCTTGTCTTTCGTAACTCCCCATTCATAAAACTGGAACTCGAATTGGAAGTGGACGTGGAAGCGAAACAGGTGCAGGGCCGGTCTTAACAAGTGGCTCGTGCCCAGGTGAACTACCCCACCGTGCTGATTATAATGCTAATTAATGCCCAGTCATGATCGAATGCCTAATGGCGGGGTTTTCAGCTCCGATCACACTCATTCACGGTTCGGCCTAACTCACTCACCCATCCACTGACGCAAAGACCAAAGACACCTGCGAAATCCACTGTCTCAAAGGGAGAAATCAATGAGAAAAGAACTCTCTCTGGGCAGATTTAATCACCTTCAACCTGTTCCAAGGTTTGATTAATTTTTGACACTGCACTTAGCCACGAATCTATATTAGCTGCAGTTTGTTGTCGTGTATGAAATCACGCCAAAAGTATTTTATAATATCGAAAATTCATCACCGATCGCCGGAGACAAAGACGTTGTGCGAGGGGGGCAAATTACGTTCGTTACCAAAGCGCTTAAATCACATAATGAATTATTTAAGTCCAGCATGAATCACACAAACAGTAATTCGAAAATCAACTCAAGATTCAAGACACTCAAGCTCGAAATTTCGCCCCTGAGTGTTGACCTGAGTGATCTAAGAGATGCAAATCCGCAAGACAAACAGACTCAAACTCGATATTGTCACTCAACCTGTTTGCTTATGATAGTGTAATATATATATATATATTCGCTGAGAGATCGGAAGAACTGTCAACCTGTCCAACCAGGGGGCGACCCCGAAACCCGTTCCAAGAAATGAAGCAAATATTCCTGGTACTGAGACGTCACAGCCCAGCATTTGTTTACGCTCCATGTTTGGCTTTAGTAAACAAAAGCGATTGATAATATATCCACTGATAACCGGCTGATCGGATCGAAGCGAATCGCCGTGTATCGGATGCACTCAGTGGCGAGCCGAGGCCCGGGCTTGAGTTCGGCTCCGCCGCTGCGGTCGGTGTAATCCGAGTCTTTATATATAGCGCCTAAGCCCGCGCGAGCCTCACTTAGTTACGAATCTCTAACCGAACCGCATCGCATCGCGAGTAGCAAAAGCCACAATGTTTCAAAAAAGGATTATCGAACTGATCACGGTTCTCGTGTACTGGATGCTTCTCACTCCGTACATCTACAAATTCTGCAAAGATCGTGATATTGTGAAATTTAGTGCAGACCATCTCATCAGCTCCATGGGCGATCACTGCACCTTTGCCCTGTGTCTGATGATTGGATACGTGGTCTTCTATCGGGTTGTAATCTTCATCTACATGAAGCTCAAGGAGTGCGACATTCGGATGTGGGACGACCTCAAACATGCCAAGGATGACCCAGAGGCACACTTTGGCAAGAAGTCACACTACAAGCCTGTTTCCCTGGAGAATGTCGATGTGGTGGACTCGCCACCCGGAAAGTTGAGAAAGACCAAGAGTGTGGACTCTATGAAGAAGAAGGCGGGAAAACATTCTGCCTCGCCACCGCCCATGATCCGGACCATCAGCAATCCGCTGCTCATCGAGAGCGACCTGGCGCGCATACACATCAAGCACGAGACGCGGCCCTTGGAGAGTGCCACCTTACCCAGACACCAGCAGCTGGCCCAGGTCCATCCCAGTCCCAATCCCAGCCTGAGAAGTGCACCACCCGTGCCAGTTATGGCGAAGAGCGCCACTCTGCCGAACCACTACAGCCACGGCGTGATCATGTCACCCAAGGTTCTGATGCCCAGACCTGAAGAAGTGTAGACAGACTTCAATAGCCGCGCGCAAACTATTTAAATGTTTTTTGGAAATAGTTTATGTGACAGCATCAAGTATTAGCTACTGCCCAAAGATCGAATAGATAATCGAGAAACCACGAAATTAGTCAAACACCACATACATTCCCCTGAAACTCATTCCAGTTAGTGAATTCCTTAGTTAGTGAATTATATTTATGTCATAAGACTGCTCCTGTTATCTGTGTTTAGTTATCGAAACGCAAACATTTATGCGTAATAAACAAACGTCTATTTATACGACTATTTATACGACTATTAATACGATAAAAGCTGAATAAATTATATTGTATTTGTGAAAGCGAAGGTTTATTTATTTGGAGAAATGGAAAGAAAACTCTGGGTGAGAACGGTATTTTATGTTGGAAAAATATTAACTATGGAGCTGGTAATCCAGAGAATTATTCTTTGTATACAAATACACTGACTTAATTGGGTATTGTATTATTCTGGTAAAATTTTCTTATATTTCAAGACGCTTAAAAAAGATTTAGATCAAAAGTTTTTGATTTGGGTAAGTATTATGATTTATATATATAAAAGAAATGTTTATTTTGGAAGCCAATACTTTAAAATTTTATTTAGCTAGATCTTTCTAGAGTCTTTAAATCTAAAGGAATCTCTAAAGATTCGCCTTTGAAATATTTTATTACCACGAATATCGTAAACATTCTTGCGCTTAAACCACTGCTTTCTTTTAGGCGGTTTTGGGAACAAATAAGACGCGCAACTTTTCGGAGAAATATCTTAAATTTTCTTTTAAAAAATGCTAAATTCAAGTAAAAATAAATATATATTTTGTTGCCCAATTCAAGTTGAGGCTTCTTAAGGGCTTAAAAAGGTGTGTGCACATGGGATGTGTGTTTTACAGAGCAAAAAGCGTGGGATACAGAAAATTGTTCTACGCATGCGTACGTTCTCTCTACCTCCCACTTACTCCCTCACATTCACTCTCGCACTCGCACTCACGCAGCATGCGACCAGGCTCGAGTCTCGACTTAAGATCAAGATCAAGTTCAAGCTGTGTTTGTGCAAAAAAGGTTTCTTTCTGGGTTAAACACACTCGCATGCAGAGTTCTTAGGGGCAGGTGTAAAGTATATGTGTGTGTATATGTGTGTCTAGTGGGTGTGTTTTGAGAATTTATGTGTTCAGTGGCTGGTTTATATGTTTAGTGAGAGGAGTTTGGTGGATTCACACAAGTCGAGAGACGCATAGCAAATCAAACGTTGGACTAACAAATGGAATCGAAGCTAATACTAAAGAGGAAATCAGAAATCGAACTATAGTGAGTTAGATAGAAGAGAAAGTATTTCGATAGCTTGAAAGAATAGGAATAGATTATAATAATAATGATTAAAAAGTTAGCAGAACGTGAAAGTGCAACGCAGTGGAAATTAATCAGTTAGCAGGATTTCTTAATATTCTAAGTTTGGATTTAAAGCTAATTGAATTAGAAGTATTTCAATTTATTTATTAAATAATATACTTAATATTCTAGAAGTTTCTTTTATTTTCAAAATATTTTTTAATATCATCATGACTTTGACATCATGAATTTCAACATTTTAGATATATAATAAATAGAATTTCACTAAACTAAAATATCATCACATCTTGAAATAGATCAAAACTATTTCTAAAACACTCCGTTTTTTTAAAAGCAGTCTAGACTTGCCACTAACCAAATATATTTCTATATATATCTTTTTCCTTAACTGGATAGCACACCAACCTTTTAGCTGCATTTTTCGAATATCTTTTTTAAAACTGGAAATGTATTTAAAGCTGCATGAGCTCAGACGTGTTTCAATTGATGTTCGAGGATCTAAAATGCTCAATCGATGCAAAAATATAAACCTAAACCGGTTCTTAGTCTTAGTCTTACAATCGGTTTTTTCTAATTAGGCACTCCCTGTAGAATCCAGAAACCGGTTTTTCCTGGCAGAGATATTCCAGAGATGGATCTAGAAATGCCATATAGGTGAGCAGTTCGATTTCGAATGGTAGCGAAAACCCAGAGTGGGTCAAGGAGAGCAGTATCTGGATCTCCGCAGGTGAAATTTGAGTGGAACTGCGGAGGAATCACTCTGAGTGACTGTCACCAGATTTATGGTGGCTTTCAATGCCAAAGAGAAGCATCAGCAGAAGCAGCCGCAGCAGCATCGCTTCAGATTCATTAGTCATGGACGTTTCATCGACGATTGCAACAACAATGGCCCTTAGTCATAAATATATATGGTTGGTAAATACTAGTAACACCTGCTAACTGGTTAAAGTCCGGCACGCGCCAAAAGCTCGCATGAGACTGAACTTGTGGATATGTGAATATGTGGAGATGTGGGGATGTGGGCATGGAGGTGGAACTGGGGATTTCCGGGGGTGATTATTGGGGTGGGAAAAACATACACAAAACGAAAATCAAAAACGAAATTTCGTTCCTGGCAAAGGATCTTCGTTTTCGTTTTAACTTTGATTCTTTTCTTTTCATTTTTTATTGGCAAACAAAATTTTGGCTTTTTAATTTCGCTTTCTCTTTTACGATTTTCTTGATTTACGTTTTTTGTAATTGTTTTTTGACTTTTACTTTTATTTATTAAGCTTTCACTTCTTTTTTTTTTCGTTTTCAATTAAGAACATTTCGAGATAGAGAGAGAGAGATTTTTGTTGGAATTTTCTTATTGGACTGATTTGATTTGATTTGATTTCTGAATTGATTTGTTGCAAAAAAACTTCCCAACTACTTACTGCTGGCATAAGTTGATCTGTACTTCGGACGCGAGTCACCTTGTTTTTGGTAATCATCTTCTTGACGCACGTCTCCACCTGGACATTCCACTTCATGAAGGTCACGTAGGCGATATAGATGGTAAAGAGTATGAGCGCCTCCCACCAGAAGATGCGGTTGTCCCGGAAAAAGTAGATCAACACCAGCAGACTGATGCTGTAGAAGGAGCAGTCACGAAATAGGGGCCACCACGTTAGCGATAGCACCGTCTTCGAGAACAGCGCACACATGCCGATCACAAACAGGATGTTGAACACGGCGGAGCCAACGATCGTACCAATGCCCACGTCGTCGAACGACACGAAAACGCCAATCACACTGGTGAAGAGCTCGGGGGCACTGCCACCCGCCGCCATAAACGTTGCGCCGGCCACATCGTCCGTGATGCCGAGCTTTTCAATGATTACGTCAAGGGAAGGCACGAAGAACTCATCGCAGACAATGGCCAGCGCCACAAACATATAGATCACACCAATGATGTGCAGGATGACAGCGCCGTTCTCAAGCTGTTCTTTCGTGAATAGGTCTTTCGGGAATAGTGGCGTTTTCGTGGTGGTCGAGTTATCGTTGTGCGTGTCTGCAAAGGACAATACAAAAAATATTATAAAATGATAATTAAAAATATTATACATTTTATTGAGCAAGAGAATATTAAACAAATCATTTTCCAGAGTCTTTAAATTTATTTGTTTTGATAATTAAATATTTTATATATTAAACGAAATGGTGGAAACCCCCTCAAAACCGTTGTTTCCAAAGAATTCTATAAAAAAGTTTTAATTGAAAAGCTGAATAAATTTTTAATTAACTTTTTTTAATTAAATGGAAAGGGAGAATTTTCCAGTAAATAAAAAAAATACAGAAACAAGAAAGGAAGCTAACTTCGGCACGCCGAAGTTTGTATACCCTTGCAGATTGGTTTTGATGTTTATATTATAGATTTAAATGCTGAAAACACACACAAAACAGAGTTTCATTACATTTTACCTATACTTATTATGTTTACAGTTTGACAGTTACAGTTTTACAATCCCAGCTTTACATTTTCTCTACATTTACCGATCGTCTATATGGCAGCTATATGATATAGTTGTCCGATTTTCATAAAATTTTTACCAAAATTCTGAAAACAATAAAAAAAGCTTATATCTAAAAGTAGATAAGAATATGTTGGAAAACAACGAAGTTATAATTTTTTTCCTATTCATTTGCCGATCGTTCCTATGGCAGCTATAAGATATAGTCGTCCGATTTTCATAAAATTTTTACCAAAATTCTGAAATAATATAAAATGGCTATATCTCAAAAATGATGCAAAAATATTGAAAAACAGCAAAGTTATAATTTTTTTCTAAAAATTTATCGAACATTTGTATGGGAGCTATATAATATAGTCGTCCGATCCGGCCCGTTCCGACATATATAGCAGTGAGAGTATATAGAAGACTATATGCAAAGTTTCATTCAGATAGCTTTAAAACTGAGGGACTAGTTTGCGTAGAAACGGACAGACGGACGGACAGACGGACGGACAGACGGACGGACAGACGGACAGACGGACAGACGGACATGGCTAGATCGACTCGGCTGTTGATGCTGATCAAGAATATATATACTTTATAGGGTCGGAAACGTCTCCTTCACTGCGTTGCAAACTTCTGACTGAAATTATAATACCCTGCAAGGGTATAAAAAGGTAATGAAAAGCACTCAAATAAATACGATGCTTCCCAGAAAAATCTCTCATATGCTAAATTTTCGCATGTTATAAATGCGGATTTAAAGAAGATAATTTAATAATACTGTAAAAATCACAATGCATTTATATCTTTTTATTTATCTTTTTTACATCTTATAAGATGAACTATAGTTCATGGTTACCAAGCAAAACAACAACAATAATTAAATGCACATGAAAAGCCACAAGAACGTGCTTTAAATACAATGCAATCTAAAGTGATAATAAGAATTGCTCAGCTGACAATGAATAAAAATAAGCAAAACCGCTGAAGAATCACACATATGACGAATTTGTCATTTTGCTGTCTGCCATTTTGACCTTTTACAAAGCTACCTGTATCCGTGATTTGGATGGATACATCCCCCTATTAGACATCCTCAATTAAGTGGCTCGACCTTTTGGAAATAACGCTGGCGATACTCCCTTGTCGCCAGTGCAGCGGTGCCTTTGGTGTGCGATTTTTATGGCAATTATTTCGTAAATTATGCAGCACATTTTGCAACAATTAACAAATTGCACTTATTTGCTGCCGACTTCGATGATGATGATGTTGATGTTGATGGTAAATGTTTGCAATGTAAATGTTTAACAATCATTTGTACTGTGAGCAATCATTTTGGCGCGTGTGCGCCAGGTAAATAATTAACGCGACTTTAATCGCCGTCTCCACTGATTCATGTAAGTCGCACAGTTCTAATAAGTCGGCTTTAAAAACCACAAAAGTCATCTTTTTATCGCTGGCTTCTTAATCTTCAGTCTAGCTTTGTTTGTTTATTTTCCCAGTGTGTAACATAGTGCTTATGCTTCCATTGGCGAATGTGTGTGATGTGGCACATTCAAGGGCAGCAAAATGAAAGGGAGAAGGCTTGGCTTGGCATAGAAAATAAATCAAGATCTGTAGAATTTTACTAGCTATTGGTATGATATTTTTTATTTAAGTTTAAGGATTGTAAACCTATGTTTCCACCAGATTATATTCTCATATCCTTTTAATAAGTTTTAATTATAAATATATAAAACATATATATATTTTAAAGTGTAGGGAATAAAGGAGATCGTCTAATCCAGGTCCCAGAAATAGACCCCTAGTTGACTCACAATGTTTTCGAACTGAGACGTTAGGCTGACAGACAGACAGCGAGGAAAAGTGCTCTATAACCGGTTTTTGGGTTCAGACGACGGACAGGCGGACTCCCTGTCAATTTGCCAATTTGCATGCAGCTAACGGACCTCGCTACGGTCCACACCCACAACAACACCCACTTTCTGTTGGTGGGCGAAAGGAGGCGGTAGGCGGGGCGACATCGAGCGTGAGCCACAACTGAATGATTCTAGTGAATCACTGGCCAAATGCTTAATGAGTGACGACGCTGCCGATTGAAAACCAATATGCTTTCAGGGCAGTTACACCAGCAAAAATTTGAAGAAAAATTTAATTTGTTTAAATCTAGATATGTATAAAAACCCTAAATTTACCTGTGAATTCTCTATAATTTTTAAATAAACCAAAAGATTTAAATGGTTTACATATTGTTGTCTTCTTTTCAACCTATTACGAATCTCATTCTCAATTGAAATCGATATCAACTTTGTTTCAGTGTACCTGACGATAGGTTGATCTGGTAGGGAACACCCTTCTCGTTGAAACAAGTACGTTGCCTATCAAACTGGATCATCGGCTCAGGGAATAGGCAATTGGCAAAGTGAACTTAGAACTGAGTTACTCAGACAGTTGTGAGTTGGTCAATGGCTTTGAAGAGTCTGCAATGCAGCAAGGATACGAGTTGATTTAATAAGCACAAAAATAAATAGAAAAGAGTAATCCAAAAGACATAATTATGTATTTTAAATGAGCTAAAAATGTACGATATAAGTGACATTTGCCAGAATCGAGGTGCATTGAACAAGGTATTCATTTGCTGATGATTCCTTATAATTTGAAGCAGTAAAAGGCATGAAAATGAACAAAATTCCTCATTAGTTGAATAAATAATTATGGCTTGAAGGTAACTGATTAAAAATATTTTACGGCAATTTATCAAAGGCATAATATTTAATAAATTAGCTAGAGCTTAAGTCCAGCTTTATTAGAGAAATTTAATTTTAGCAAGTTAGATTGAAGGTTAAAGTGTAAATCTTAAATCACAGACTTTTCCATCGAATTAGCTACTTTCCCTAATACGAAATTCCTTCAATGGATTCCATGTAAGCTTTACTTATTAAAAATATTAGAAAAGTTACTTTAAAATCAACCAAAGGAAAATTTCGAATTGGTCTGATGGGAATTTCTCTTTGCTTAATATCTATTATATTTATATTTTAAGGCTCTTAAAATCCAAAGAAAGCTGTTAAATTCCAGAAAATGTATTGCTTCACAGATTATCTCTTTAGAAAATAGCAAAATTCACTTTTAATGATTAGAAGAGTGGCCCTAAACTCCAAGAGATAACTCTTAGCAGATTAAAATATTTAAATAGTGTAAATAGAATCCAAAATTTATGAGATTTACTTTTTAAAATCCACAGATATAATTCCCAGAACATTTAATGCTTCACTGATTATCTCTTTAGCAAATAGAAAAATGTACACTTAGAGATTGGGGGCGGCACGTTAAAGTCCAAGATATAACTCTTTGCAGATTTCTTATTCGCTAATGAATCACATACATATAGTTGACGTTTTATCTGAACAATAAAATTACTAATGCCCTGAAAATAAAGCAAAGCCGCAGCTAAAAATAACGCAAGCGAGGGGCAACAGAATAGATAAAATGCAGGCTTATATTACTCATAAACATATATCTTAATTAAACTTATGAATCCCTGGTTCCTCGACCATCTTGCATTGATTAGGTACAAGTATCAAAATGAATCCCCTCGACATTTCGATTACGCCATCAAGTCATGACTTTGAAGCGAATATACTACATCTGTATACACCATCCTACAGACACGAGCCCCTCGAAGTAGCGTTGGTCATCATGAAATTGTTATTGGGTTCACTGGATGGAGGTAACAAAATAATGACTATTAAATATTATTTATTATTTATTGTCTCTGATTATTTATTGCGACCATGTGGGCGTCTGCCTTGCTGGCTGCCTGGCCTGGCCTGCTCTCCACATACTTATTATGGAGTATGGAGCCAGGCGACGAGGGGGAAACCAGTTCCGAGTCCCAATCGCGATTCGCGAAATGGCACCACAATTTGACTAAGCGACTGCAGTCGTCGTCGTCGTCGTCGTGAGATATATAGAGATGGTATCGTTGCCAATCACGCAAATTAATTAGCATTAATGTGCCAACAGGTGAGTTGCTGCGGATCGTAAAAGTTATTCCGCTCGAAGGAGATTTCCTTAGCACTTTTATTTTTATGGGAGGAGAGGGAGAGAGAGCTTTGGATGATTTCATCCCAGAGATGAGCTCGTGACAATTCCAATCAAATAAAAACCAAATGCAGTTGGAATCAATAAAAATTGGGTATTTATCATACATCAAGAGACGGTAATAAATTGTTGTCTTTACTGATTTTCTTAAAAGGGTTTATTAGTCACTTGTGGTTCTGTATTTATTATGAAGATAAAGCTCATGTTGGAAATAAAAAATATAGTTAAATCTTTTATAGTAAGGTTATCTATCTTATTATATTCCAAACTCAAGACCTAATTATATTTGATAATTATTAATAAATTATATTTACAAATTCACGATTTTTGATATTTGACGCGAAAATCGGTACGAAAATCGATTTTAATCGTTAATTTTAATTATAAATCTAATAAAAATGTAAAAAAAAGAAATTAAAGTACTATAACCACTCCTAACCTCACGCTTCCACCTCCAGGCGACACTCAGTCATTCAATGGGTACGCGGTATGCGTCATGTCAGGCCGAGACGCGTTGTTTACGGAGCAACCGAAATCGTAACCAGAGAACAAAGCCACACCAGAATGCTCTGCGGCTGTCGACACTCGCAATCAGTCCGCCAGTAGAAACCGATCCATACAGATGGCAGCCGCAGTAGCACACAGCCAGGAGGAGCTCTTCGTGAGCCGGGCCACCATTCAATTGCAGTTTCAACCCTCCGTCGAGGCATCACCCCGCATCTACGAGTGGCGCACGCAGGTGCTGACGCCTAAACCCGCCCCGGAGGAGGACCTAGTGAGCGTCAAACAACATACCACGGAGGCTGCCACGCCCCGGGGTAGCTACTACACTCCACCGCAGATCTTTGGGACCGAAGCGAAGCGTAAGAATCTGCCCCAGACGCTGAGCAACTTCTTCGAGGCGGAGCGGCACTCCAGTGCCTGGACTCGCGTGACGAAGTAGGCGCCACCCAAGGAGACGGTGGGGCCTAATCGATTAACCCATTAAGTGTGTGCCGAGACCTGCAGCAGCAGGAGGAGGAGGAGGAGAAGGCGGAGTAAAGTGAAATTCCATTCCATTTCGTTGCCAAAAATTCCAATTCATGTCCCAAAAAATTGCTTACTCGCTGGGCCTAGGCCAACCCCAAACTATATGTACTCGTTGTATATAAGCATCGCATCCCATGAATATTTATGTGCCCCCACTTTTTTGCCTGATAATGCAATAAAAGTATTATTTGATAGATAAAGCTAAATTCTCTTTCTCTCTCAGCTCTGCTGTGCCCAGCCCTCCCAAGGGGTTAAACTTCATTAGGGCGCGATAAGAACGGGGCCTCGGAATGACTTTGGGACTGTTAGGGACTTGGGCTTTCCAGAGGGGCTTTTCGGGGCTGGCTTTCTGGACTGGCTTTACTTTTCTGCCACGTCATCAGTGTGCATAAATCACGGCTGAACAAACGCACGAAAATTACAGGAACCAGAAGAGCGAAAGTCAAAGAAAAATCGCACGCCTGGCCGGAAGTTCATTATGGGGGGGGGGGAGCTCGCAGCCCACCGAAGGCGGAAGCGGCTAGGGAAGTGGAACCCACACACACAGTTACACACATACAACACTCCTAGTGTCCGCGTGCTTTCACGCTCTTTGACCCATGAAAGCAGCTGCTAATTTATCAGAGAGACAGCGCTCTGTGGCACGAACCGCACGCTCGGCGGAGAGCGAGCAGCGCTTCAAGGTGGCCGCCGGAATCGATTAGCCAGCCCAACAACAGTCCAGCCAAGAGTAAAGCAGCCAAAAGCAGAACAGCCAACAGCCAAACAGCCAAAATCAGAGCAAGCCAAACGTGCAATGCACATGCAAGCCACTGCCAGCGGCAAAAAACTGATAAACACTGCAAAAGAAAAGTATAACGTAAAAAATGAGACAAAAACAAAGGAAATTTTATTCGAGGGGCAACTGCAGGCCTCACAGAAAAAATAAGAAATTCCAATTAAACAGCAAACACTCAGAAGTATTATCAAAAAATTATACGTTGTTTTTAAGAAAAGAAATTACTTACAAAATTAATATTTATTTCCCTTTCTTGCATTGGAAAACACTTTAATTTTATCAAGTAAATAAACCCATATACAACATATTCTTTAAATTTTTTCTCTGCGTGCCTGCAGGGTTGTCAAGTGGCTGTTGAATCAATGCAGGCTGCGAGAAGAGCCTCGAGCTCGTCCTGGCGCAGTCCTGTGCCCAATAAACAGTGCGGGTTGAAGGATGAAAGCCGAACTGATGGCAGTGGATGGGGGCACTTAAGGATTGCCATAGAAAGTTTATCACGGCTATGAGCAGCTGTCAATGAAGGTTACTTGGCAGGAGCAGGATCTGTCCTTCCTACACCTTCCTTACCAAAAAAGTTACGGCGACCATAACTTGGCACAGTTAAGACCCCAGAGCCAGGCAGTCAGCCACACATGAGTGGGCCGCATTTTAGCTAATCAAAAGCGCCGCTCTATCCCCAGGGCGATCCCGTGCCAACATTGTGGACCAAGACCAAGCCCAGGCCTAGGCCCAAAGTGCGAGCATTATAATGCCTATATGTGCTTGACCCAATTTCGCCTAGAATTACATTTCCTGATGGTGGTAGGTGGAGGAGCCCGCTTTAATGGGAAATGTTTCTTACACTAATTTCGGCATTTACGAATTTATGGGCCTCGTTAAAGTTCTCTGAGTTTGAGCGTTCAAAAATTTCAAAATCTGTTGCAAAGTTTCAACGACATATTCCCTTTCTTACTGGTGCTTGTTTCCGCAAGTAGGTACTTGAAATTTAAGCACCATTTAAAGCATAAACGAATACTCGAGAGCAGAGTTTAATAACTTTTGAGATGAACAAGCCGGATAGCTGTCAGAAATTCCAGAAACAAAAACCTATACCCATATATGAGTCAGCCAAGGTTTTTCTAAACTGAAATTATAATGCAAAAGCTTAAAATGATGTGGTTTTGAAGTCTAAGTATAAGCCGTAGATTCACAGGTGAATTCCAGATACTATTTCGAATGAAAAACAAATCTAACCGCTTTTAATAGTTCATTAACACTATACCTTTTTAATACTAGGGAAATTACCAAAAGTAAACAAATGAAATCTAATCTTTTTTCGGTTCAAAATTTATGATTGTTTATAAACCAAACGTAGTATATCTGAACATAATAAGATAAGCTAATTAATCTGATTTGTGGAAGACATAATCCTATTATGGTTTCAAGAGGGGGCTCGATGCCTATCTCTAGCTAATTTGTATATAATTTGTCGAAAAGCTGTTAAAACTAGTCATAAATATCTGTGGAAGCTTTGGAACCACATTAAATTTGAATAATTAAAAACAAACAAGAGACTGGGTCTAGTAGGTTTCCGAAGCGTTCGAGAAAGATTTGCTTACGCGATTGACACTCAATATCTTACGGATTGCATTCGATAACCTGTTTTTCCACCGAGTGACCGCAAAACCCCGGTTTGAGTGAATCATACTGATAACAGAGACCGATACGAGTCATTGATACCCAGCGGCGAAACCCCTCGGGGCCCACGAAATATGATTCATCTCCAGGTAGGGTTGGAATATCCAATCCTGGAGGTTCACCTGCTTCTGACTCAGTTGTAACCACCTTGGAAAAATCACAGCCACCAGCACTAGTAGGACCTGGTCACTGGGGCAGACAGCAGGGGCACTTAGTGCCCACAAGCAATGGAAGGACACTCGCCGCCCTATGGTGGGGGTGGAGCGGAATGTCAATAATTAAAAAGGCGGCCAAATGTTGTCATTTCAGACCGAACCCCATGTAACCCCGACTCCTTTGCTTCCTTCTTGCCTCATAAAGCACAGAAAAATACACCGAGCCGAAAGCGAAATGGGAGGCAGGAAGGAAACGACTTCCTGCCACCCACACGGACTCGTTTTTCCCCTCTACCCCTCTCTGGGTGCTTTTTTTTCAACGTCTCTCGTGGCTTTTAGCATGCAACTCACACGTCCTTGCCAGGACGCTATTGTTGATGTTGTTTTTGTTGTTGTTGTTGTTGTTGTTGTTGTTGGGACTGTTGTTGGCATTTTGATTTATCGATTTAAATTTTGTGTTTAAGGCGCTGTGCGTGCTCTTGGTTTCCTCGGTTTATTTTTTTATACCCGTTACTGGTCGAGCACAAGTCTATATTGTATTCGTGCAGGAAGCGTTTCCACACTTTATGAAGCATAATGTATATAAGTTGTTATTCTTGATCAGGGGCAACATTCTATAGTCGGTCTGGTTCTTACAAGAGTTCCTAGAGAAACTATGCAAGCTAGAAAAATATTATTTTAAAATTACAGATGAATGTATCTGTTGTTAGAAGTACAAAATTCTGGGAAATATTCGTTTTCTGTTTAATTAATATGATAAAGTAAGAAGTAATCTTTAGAAATCTCTATTATTTTATCTATATCTACTGGGTGTGTAAAAGCCTTTCTCGGCCCAAGAATATTCTTTATTTAAAATCAATTTAAAATATTTCTAAGAGCATGGAATGCAAAATTTTAATTTACATATTCTCTACTTCCTATGGAATTCTCGAAATAACTTAACTTAAAGAAGTAGCTTTTAACCCGAAATCAATGATTAATGTGTCTAAAAGTATACAATAAAATATGTATAATCTGAACTGGCTTTGTATAAAAATGGATTGCCTACTTTTGAACCCCATTATAATTGATTTTAAATCCCTTTTTCATTTTCCTTTGCATATCAGGTATTTAATAGTCGAATTTATCAACTGTAACATTATTTTCTTACCCCCCCTTTTTGTTGTTTGAATTTTCTTTAGGGGTTTTCCCAACTCGTTTTCATTTTCTGGGTGTCTGTTTCTGTCTCTGCTTTGTTTTTCTCAATCATTTTTCAAAATGTTTGCATAGACACACACACACACAGAGACTGTGGAGCATACAGAGAGTGGCAGAGACAAACGAATAGCGAGTTTTTGGCCGCCTGCCGTTTAGGTCGAGGTCTTTGCTTAACTTTATATTCTCCTTCCTTTCGGGCTTTTTTCAGGGTCTGCGCCTGCCTGCCACCCACATGGAAAACGCCGACGTCGAGAGCCTGAAACGTCGTTAACAGCCACGTTTGCGTGTGCCTCACACACACACACACACTCTCTAAAAAATACACACCCGCACACACTCTTATGGCACAAGAGCCAAGACTGTGTGTGTGTGTGTGTATTTTTGTTGTTATTATACGGAGAGCGCGCTCGCAATTTGGGTCGATGGTAAAATAGAAAAGCCAAAAGCAAGGCAAATACACACACTCAAACATTTGTATACGACGAGCATGTGCGCGAGGATACTCGTATATAAAATTTCGAACAAAGGTCGCTGAGGAGCACTGGCAGGAGCAGGAGCAGAGCAGACCAGTGCACATTCGCTATATACACACACATATATACCATATATATATATATTTATATAAATTTATATGGAGGAGGGCGGGCAACCTGAGTTATGTGCGCTGGCTGTCTGCATTATTTCCACTTTTTGTGGACTTTTTCGCGCTGGTTTCATGTTAATTGCTCGTAGCCCCGTCGCTTGTTCCAGCAATCTGCGTTAATTTTAAAGCTTGATTTACACACAACAAGCGTTCGTGGTTGCTGTCACCAATACAAACTGCAATTGCAGTTCGCAGGACACGTTTTTCGCCTCAGAGTAGTTTTATGTGTCACGAGCTCCCCGATTTGTTTGTTGTTTGCACACTAGTCCTCCTCGTGGAGGAGGTGGGTGGGTTGGTGTAGTAAGCAAACAAACAAGGGGATTGGACAGGATTTGCCGGGGACTACTTATCAGGGCTTGACATCATCAACATCCGCACGGCGGTACATAGATTTGTCCGTTGACATCATCCTTCTTGAACTTTATAAGGATTGCATATCGATAAATGAGATATACAATGCGAATCACCTTGAATGTGGCATCGGTAAATTGGTATCGAAATAAATACCGAAGATTAAATATAAGAGATTATCAATATCTTTGAAAATAATCAAATACTACATTGTTCTAACGTCAATATCCTTTTGATATATTGCCTTTAAGGTCTGTATAATATCTGAAAAATAAAACGTTTACATCTGGCTCAAAGTTTTCCCCTAAAAGTGGCCGACAACTTTTAGACCTGAACCTGGCTCAGTTGAGTCATTAAAATGAGAAATGGCTCCGGGGTCTCTCCGCCTAAGCAAACCGTGTGCAATGTCGGGTTTAATTGTTGGCCAAAATGTGACTGCACCGCGTACACACACACAGGCCGAAAGACAGGCAGGCAGGCAGTCAGAATCAGGGCCAAAAGGTAAAAAGGTTGCCAAGGTGCAAAGGTGCAAAGGGGACTTGACTTTCGCTGATGTGGCGCAAAAATACTTTTATATATATATATATACATATATATCTCAGCAGATGTGCGCTGGGCACACATTAACATGCTCCCGGGGCACATACAGAAATATATTTCATCGTCCAACTGCAGACAGTTGTTCCATTATGTTCATTTTGCAGTCGCTTATGCTGCGGCCGGGATAATTTATGTTCGCCACATATTACGTATACGTAAACGTATAAACGGCTGGGCATATGAGTTTTGCGGGAATTACTGTGGTTGTTTCGCTTTGGCGGCATGTAGAGTGCTTCACACGTTACGTATACGCAATGCAAGCACATAAATATCGCTCATACGCAGTGTGTGCGGTTGGGAAATAATCCTTCAACAGATGCAAGAGACGACATCTCAATGCGAACCTTTTCAACTCTATTGATTTCTTCGTTTTTTTGCAGTTTGAAGCATTATGCGGGAAGCTTTTCTATGGAAATTGTTTTATTATTTCTTTGGTGTTCTTGGCAAAATGCTTTAGGCACAGATTTAAATCCTTGAATGCAATTTAAACGTAGTTTTCTTTGATTTCCTTTGTATGTCAAGTAAGAAATTTATGCGTAAATTACGGAAATGATGCTGGCAAGACCTTGAATATGGCTCATACGCAGTGTGGTTTCAATAATATGTTTTACTCATGGCCTAAAACATCTAAACAGCTGGCTTTCTTTTTAACTAAAAAAATAAAAATAAGGTCAAAGTAATTTGTCTTATAATAAAATAAATGTCTTCTAACTTTAGCACCTAAATTAACTTTAATTGATTTCTAAATTTGTTTTAATATTGTCGCAACTTTAGGTCATATTAACTCGAGCTTCCTCAGATGATTGTTTTTATTGGGGAACTTCAACTGTAATTATCCACCCATAAAGTAAGATATAGCTTTATAATTGGACTATCAAACTTTGTTTCCAAGTTTTACCATTTCTACGAATTCAGCTTGGGCTTTGCCGTGTGATAAATGAATATATCGCTCAGACGAAATCGTACCTGAATCGCGAACATATACTCGATTCTGGGGCCTTGAACTTTTACCCATCGACGTCCCACCATATGCCAGGCAAATTCAATTTGTCTTCGCTGGAAGTTTTTGTGCAGGAAAATCCAAGCGAGAGCACCCGCTGCCCTTTCCCCGAGAACCAATTGCTCATTTAAATACGATTGCCATTAGTCAGGCAAAAGTTCTACAGACACGAGATGGAAGGGAGATGGAATATTTGCAATCAGAAATGGCTACTCACCATTGATACCACGTTGATTGGCTGCATTATCCTCATCGGAGCCGGGCTGAAGATCCTGGTCACGCTCCTGCTGTCGCTCCAGCTCCTGGTCCTCCTCCAGGCCGAACATCTGCTCACCGGACTGGAAGGGATATAGCAGCTCGGCCTCGTCCTCGACAGAAGTCTGAACCGGAGCGCCCACACCGCCTAGGACATCGTTTTGGTTCTGGTTCTGATTCTGAGTGTTGCTGTTGTAGTGCTGCTTGGCCGACTTGGGCTTGGCGGCATCTCCCAGCCCCAATCCCTGGCTGGCAACGCAGAACAGCAGGATGCCGTAGACCGGCAAGCGGAGGCAGCGACTGTGGCAGCGGCTGCGGTTAGAGGCACCACGAGATGTTGCAGAAGCTGCTGCTCTGCTTCTTGTCTTTGCTTTCGTTATTGTTGTTGCTGATATTGTTTTTAAGGTTAATAATACTAAGCGCTTGAAAATATGTACACACTCGTCCAGTATCGTAGCTTGGTGCTGCTGCTGCTGCTGCTGCTGCTGCTGATCGGCCAGGCTCAAGGAGGCATCCTCCTCCCGTAGACGCCCCCGTCGCCGGCGACTGTTGAAGTCTATCGTTGTGCTGCTGCTGCCGCTGCTGCAGCTGGTGCTGCTACTGTCCGCGGGCAACATGTTGTTTTTGTTGCTGCTCCAAAAGTTGCTGCTATTGCGTTTGGTTACTGCTGCAGTTGCAGTTGCTACTGTTGCAGTGGCTGCTGCTAAGGCTCCATGATCTCTAGCTGGGAATGGCGCTCCCACTGCTGCTGGTGCTGATGCTGCTGCTGTTGCGATTGCTAGTTGATGCCTCTGCTGTTGCTGCTGCTGCTGTTTGCTGCATGTTGTTGGCTGCAACATTGGACCCGTTGGAATAATGTTGTTTGTTTGGTTGGTTGGTTGTTTGCTTGGTTTGTTTTGGATTGGTTTGGTTTGGTGTTAACGTTTCCACTGGCAAAACCGTTTGTTGTCGTTGTACGCTTTTGATTAGACTGAGTTTAGTTTAGAGTTCACGTTCCATTTGTTGTATCACAAACTTTGTTATATACACGTTAAATACATAAGTAACAATTAACACACGGAACGGAGAGAGAGCGGCGAAGAATTCGGGAGCAGGACAGCGACGTGGGCGATGCTGTTACCGCCGAAGCTGCTGGCGTGGTCACCAGAAGCCGCAGCATTTCCATTTCCACGGGGCGCGATTTTCTTAGACTCCTACTACTCACACCCCCGCTTCCCGTTATCCGCTTATCCGTGATATTTTCTTTTTTCTTTTGTGAAACGCCTCCTGGCTTTTTATTTTCGTTCACGGCCTAGCCCCCGTCTTTTTGCTGCTCCGGCTGCTGCTGCTAGTGCTGCTGCTGCTGCTATTCCTGGCCATTTGTCTGAGGCTTTTCCGCCTGCGAATCCTGCGTCCTGTGCGTCCGCGTGTCCCTCTGCGGAGGAAGGTTTCCCTGAGTGGCCGTCGCGGTATGGATCTGGGTCCGGAGCTGGACTACATCACGCTGCGCACTCTGCTGGCGTTGTGAGTCTGAGCCCGATTCCTAGTCCTAGTCCGAAACCAAAACCGAATCTGAATCCGAGCTAGAGCCCCGAGCCTGGCCAGGCTGCGAGCAGGCTGGAAAGCACAACGACGACGAGCCTGGAAGCTCGGCTGTTATGCTCTCGTAGCGTGAGGGAGAGAGTAACGAACTGCTGCGCCTGCGTCGCTTTTGTTTACATTTTCGATGGCTTCACTCGATGGCTGCAATGGCTCAAAGGATGCCTGTGTCTGTGGGATTGGATAAAAAGGATGAAATAATTAGCAGAGTTTGGGTATTGTAATTTTTGTTAAGTTTTAATAGGATTTTTATTAAAAGGAATAAATAAATTTATTATTTACATAAGGAAATCTGAGCCGCCCCTTTTTGATTAATTATAGCATCAATTAAAACTATACATTTTTACGTTCTCAAAGTATTTTTCTTAAATTATTTATCACTTTACTTGCTTTGGCCCCAAGCATTTAAGAATCAATTTAAAAATGTCTTCCAGAGTGATTTTGAGACTCAGTAAACTACAAACCCGCTAAGACCCCTAAAAACTACCAAATATTATAGTTTATAATTATATGGAAATACATTTCTTTAATAACCTAAAATTCTATAAGTTTTTGTTATTCAAAAATATAATTAAATTTCGTTTTTTATTAGTATTCAAAATGGTAAATAGTTCCCAAAAAATGGTAGCATTTCCCTGATAGGCATTATGCCTATTATTACGCGCTCTTCGGCCAGCTTTTCCCTTTTCTCTTTGCCATTTTCCAGGCTCTCCCTCCCTCCTCCCTCTCTGTCACACACAATTTTCCGCTGCCTCTCGCTCGCTCGCGTGTTGGATGCCGCTTATCTGCTGGGCCTTATCGCTTTTCTCACGGCTTTTGCTTGGCTTTGCTTTTGCTTTTGGTTTTACTTTTGGCTTGGCTTTAGCTTTCCCTGCTGCCTCAGCCTCAGCCTCTGCCTCTGTGTTTGTTGTTTTAGCTTACGCTTACAATTTTTACTTTCATTTAGGTTTAGTAGGTGACTACCGAGCCCCTCCTCTCCCTCCCTGCACCACCCCCTTTTTTACGCTTTTTACGGTCTTCGGCTGAATGTGCGGTTATGTTCATTGTTATGCTTTGAGTAGCTCCCGCTGCTTCTAGTCCTAGTCCGTCCTCCCTCTTTCCTGGCTTCTGCTAATCCTCGCCATCCCCCTTGATTATCCTGTGCCTTTTTGTCCTTTTTTTTTCACTGTTATTTTTAGCTGTAGGCCAGAGTTTTGGCCAAGAATTCAACCGTGTGGCTTTGTTATTAATTATGTTTTTTCCCCGCTATTTGTTGTTTTTCTGTGTGTGTGTGGGTTTGTTTCTTGTTGTTTGTTTTTTTTTTAGCAAATTGCGTAACATTTTTACGCTTTACATAATTGCCCCATCAAATTGTTGGACATTTGATATTTTCTGTAAAGTCTTATCTTAGGTAAATTTGTATAGAAAATCTTGAGAAAATCTGAGGTTTATATAACCTTGAGAATCTTTTCCTCACGTATCTGGTTCTTTTTTAAAGTTTATAATTGGCCAAGGTTAAAAATATAACTCCAAAACTAAGATCTAAATATATATAAGATGGAACACCATTTTACTAAAGTTTGTAGAAAATACTAGACAACTGCTTTATTTTTTAAATATATTTCAGGATAAATTTAATATTTTAAAATTATTTTAAGAAGAAATCATTTTTAAGGCTGTTTATATATTTATTTAAAGTATATTTGTTCTTAAATAAATTACTTGTAAAGCTATTTTTTCTGTTACTACTTTTAAAACGTAATTATACTTCTTGTTAGAGAATACTTTTGACCTACAATTTTGTATATATATTTTTTAATTCTTTACTAATTTCTTTCTTAATATCTCTCCCAGAATCTTGCCTTTATATAATGCCAACCAAAAGTCAGGGGAAAAGCCTGATTGGCACCCGAAAGTATGCTGCAGAAGATGCCCACCAAAAGGCCATTAAACGCGAAATTTCAAGCTAAATTGGTAACAAAAAAACAGGGACGAGTCCTGGCCTGGTGTGTGTACCAGTTGTGTGTAGCCTCTGCCTAGGCTAATTGTTATATCATGGGGCCCCAACTTTAAAGGGGCGGGGCCGCTTTAAGAACGGGGTCGAGCTCGTGACAGCCGAAAGTCTGACTGCAAAAACTTTCTTCTCGACTTGGCTTTGAGTTGACCAGCCGAAAAAAAAGGCAAAGGCAGCCAGAAAGAATGTGGAAACTCTGCGCACACACACCAAGGCACAACAGGACACACACAGCTCGCATACAAACACACAAAGCAGGCGAAAGTAACGTTTTGACCTCTTTATGAAAAAGGCCTCAAGCACGAGAGGGCCGCACTCACACAGCCGCCTGACTACACACAGACACGAACGGGGGCTGCCGTTAATGTTTTCTGCACTCACACACACACACACACACACACAAAGAGATCCCCGAAAAACGCTTTGCGCGGCGGCGACACCCTGGCCCCCTCTTCTTGTGGCTTTTTATTGCTTGATTATATAAAAATTGGCTTTGAATGTGGCATGTTTTCTTTTTTTTTCTTCTTGTTGGTTTACTGCAGCTTTGCAGCGCCTCTAGAGGCTGCTCCTCCCCAATTATGCCAGGATTCGAGCTGTGAGACTTTTGATACGGCTTGAGTTTTTCCTTTTCATTTCAAACTGCAATAAATTTTCCAACACCTCGCGCACACCAACACAGGCTTATACACACAGACACGCGCGCTAAGGCACACACACACGGCGCACACGGTTAAAAGTTTCTGCACACACATACAGCGAGCAGGAGGCTCGTGGACGCACCATCCGCTCGTTGGTCCTGCGAGGATGTTGTCAGCACAGCGCCCGAAAACGTTTTGGGTCCCTGCCAGACATGGCCGCGAATCCTTGGGCCAGGCACGAGACCGTATGGAAAGCCGACAGCTGCCGAGGCGAGCCGAGCTTCCAGCAGGAGGGGGGATAGGTACGGGGGAGGTATCTACTAGGCTTGGGGCTTGGGGTTGGCCAGGATCGGGTATCGGGTTCGCTCTTGGGCTCAGTTTCAATTTCAGCTGCTATCTCTAGGCATCGCTTCGATTTATTTATAATTAATTAATTTACGATGACTTCCGCTGGCACACATATTTGCATTAGCTCGCTGGCTCTCTCCGGCTCAGGCTCAGGCTAGAGTCGCAGTCTCCCTCTCGCTGGCTTCCAGTTTATAGCATACTTATGCGGGCAAGGAGGCAGGGAGAGCTTGGAAAAGAACGAAAGAGAGAGAGAGAGAGCGCGCAGCTGTTCGGCGCTCCAGGTGTCGCCGCCCTCCCTGTCCCTCTGTTCTCGGTCCTCCAAACAAATGCCAAAAACGAACGAAAGGACGAACGGACGATGGAAAGAAAGAAATAAACGTTTGTGCATGCTCACACACTCGCACAGATACACACGCACAATTGTATTTTGATTATGCCCGGTTTTGGTACGCCGCATACCTCGGATACTTCTACGCACAACAATGCCAAATCCTCAACCCAAAATCCACATCCGCCAGCTACTCCCCCTCTTTTACCCCCTGGAGTCCGCCGAATCGTAACGAAACAAAACGAAGCGAAACCCAATGCAATCCCAACCCATCAAGCGCTAACCCATCCCCACGCTCCATTGATAGCCGCCAAGTTTGCCGTCACATCAAATATTTATGGCGACAGGAGAGAGTGAGCGAGCGAGAATAGTCGAAAATGCGGAATTTAAAATCCAACTAACAAGGATCTCAGCTTAAGAATGCATTAAACTGAAAGTGCCTTAAGTCCATGAAGGCGCCTCTGAGGCCTCTCAGCCAACTCGATTATTATTATCAGATGCATGCGGAAGCAGGAAACGTTTCAAGAGGAAGTAATTACAATTAGACCCTAGATTGTAATAAAGAAAGTTTATTGATACAGTCTGTATATACATATATAAAAATGTATACATTTATAAATTAATAAATTTATTTATTTTTTTTATTTTAAATTTTATGTATATTTAAACATTATTTATACATGTTAACAATGGTTTAAGCTCAAAGAATCATGCATTTATTTTAATCACTTTTTCATGCCTATAAAGGCATAAATAATTAAAGTATTTCCATACCTAGAATATTCTTCAAGCTGCATTTTTGATAAGCTATATAAGTCAGATTAAGCGAGAGGAACAAACTCAAAAGTAAAATGAAACTATACTCAGCAGGTCTGCTATACGTGCTATGCAACTATGGAGCTTTCTTTTCCTATTCAGTTTGGAAGGAACGCAACAAATAAATTAAATAAAATGGGTTTCTAATAAAAAATACTATTTAAACGGTTATTGCAAAAAAGTATGGACTAATTAATTTAAGGTTAACCTTTTAGCTATAACCATAGAAACAGATTAAAATAATGTTTGTTGGGGGAAAACAAACACGGTGTTAATTGGTTTTGTAATTGGTAAATGATCATCCTAAATAAAGCTGAATCGGTGTTTTAACTCGATTAGAAGAGAAAGAAAGAAGAAGAGGGAGAAATAGGGATTTTTTGGAAATGAAAACCAAAACAGAGCTTAAATATACTTTCCATGATTTGTTTTTGGAATTAAAAACTAGAAGAGGCCTGAATAGTCCACTAGTTATTTTCACTTAAAATATAACATTTACTCTGATATGTAGAAAATCCATAGAAATGGAGCTATATCGTGACCACTGTATATATGTACATATTTTAAAACACACAAATTACGAAACAAGCATACGCAACGAATCAGGAATTTATTTTATTCCGAAGGTCTCGCTTATTAAGGCATTAATAACAATGTTATTTCCATATCTAATGCAGTTTAAAAATTTTCTAAAAAAAAGCTATATAAACCAGTTTAAGGAAGGGAAACTAACTAAAAGAAAAAAACTAAAATGAAAATTTACTTGGCCGCTTTTCTATTTGCGCTCTGCAGCTTTGGAGTTGCCTGGTCCTACCACGCTAATGCGCAACGTCAAAAGTAAATGGAGTGTAATGTTTTTTAAATAAAATAAATACCATTTAAATGGTTACTACAAAAAGTATGATTTAAGTGTTTTAATTATATTCATTTTGGGTTAGGAATTAATAAATTTAAGGTTAACTATAGAAAAAATCCTAAATCATTTTGATTTGGGAAATTTTCAAACATACAATTCTACGCCTATTAAGCCATGGATAATTATATTATTTGCATACCAAATGCTGTTTCCAAACTTTAAAAGGTATGTATATAAGCCAGGTTAAGGAAGAGTAAATAAATCAAAAATAAAATGAAACTTTACTCGGCCGCTCTATTATTTGTGCTCTGCAACTTTGGGGCTTCATGGTCCTATGCACCTTATCCAGACCGCAAATAATAAATGAAGTGTAATGGCTTTTCAATATAATAAAAATCATGTAAATGTATGTGAAAAGTGCTAATTTGTTTTTTTATTTTTGGAAAAGTATTAATTTATTTAAGACTTACCCATATAGTTTTTGCATTAGATTCTGGGTTTATTAATATAATTTTTACCCTCTAAACTGCACTCGATTGTGTTCGAGTTCGACATACCCGGAACTATTTCACTTCAGGCTTAAAATATAAATTATTTATGGTCGATATTCATACCATAGATAATTATTTTATACAAACTCAGTTTACAGTTTTACTTATATAAAAAAGTATATGTTGTAAGAAGTCAAAGAAAATAAACTGAATATTGGATTCAAACTACGATCTGAAAAGTGTTTTTATAAATATATAGCTCATAAAACAATAATTGATTTAACTTAAATGTCATAAAAAATGTTTATTAAAAGACAAACTTTGTATGTTTTTAAGTACTTAATGATAAACTTAAGGTTAAAGTAACTACACAATTAAGGAAGTCGCTCCCGAAGGCGAAGATGCAGGCCATTGTCCGACTTGAGGGTAAGAACTGCCGAAAGAACGGGATCGTACTTGTGCCGGCCGGCCTCCCGCTTCAACTTCTCACCTGGCGAGAGTCCCAGGTAGGTGTTGATCCGCCCATCCCTGGAGACAAGCTCATCGACTGCGGGTAATACTTCGAAGGATCGCACCAGCTTTGAGATCACGGTCTTCAGTTCCAACAGGGCAAACTTCTGGCCAATGCAGTTCCGGGGACCAGCACTAAAGGGCACATACTCAAAGGGACCCGGTTTCTCCTCCTCGAATCTCTCGGGCCGAAAATGATGGGGATCCTTGAAGATGCGATCGTTGTAGCCCAGCAGTACGAGAGCCAGATTGAGGGTGGTGCCCTTGGGCACGATAGTGCCATCTGAAGCAAAGAAAATATTATGTTTTGGTTTTTATATTCCAGAATATTACTATTAAATGAAATCCTCACTGATATCGTAATCCTTGTCGCAATAGCGGCCAATGAATGGAACACTGGGATAGACGCGCTGGGCTTCCTTGATAAAAAGATCCAAATACTTCATTTGGGCAATCTCCTGAAAATTGGCATCCCTGTTCATGTCATTGCCCATAACCTCGCACTGTTCCTGGTAGAGTTTTTGCTGGAAGTTCAAATAAATTAGGCTCCAAACTCTAAATCTATGTAAACTAAGTTCATACCTGGACATCGGGATGTCGAGAGAGCAGGTAACCAGAAAAGGATACACCCGAGGTGGTTGTGTCATGACCCTCGAACATGAAGGTTGACACCTCCTCGTAGATCTCCTGTCGAGTCAGCGGACGACCGTCTATGGTGGAGGATAACAGTGTGTCCAGGAAAGCCATCTTCTTTCTTGGGGCAGACGGATCCTGCTCTTTTTTAGGACCTCCCTTCTGCAGGGTCTCCACGCGCTTCTCAATGATATCGTAGGTAAAGTCCTGTAGTGTCTTCAGGGATCGCTGGAAGGCAGCAAACTCTGGGGCCAAGCTAAAGACCCAATGGGAACGCTTGAAGGGATGGAAGGCCCGCATATTGATGGTATAGCACATGCTGGAGATAAAATACTAGCCACACATTTTGAAAGTATAAATACACCAGAACTCACTTTCTAAAGGCCTGAACAATCGAGGAGTCTCTCTGCTCCATGGCATTGATGGGCACTCCCATGGCCGTGTCGCAGATCACATCCAGAGTAAGGTAGTTGGAGTGCTCTTGGAAATCAATGATGCTGTCACCGACTGCCGCCTTCCTCAGCTGGGCCATGAACTTGGTGGAGTTCTCGTTCATCACCTCATGGAAGTCCTGCAGGATGTTGAAGTGGAACGAGGGCGTGATCATCTTGCGATGCTTGTGCCATTTGGTGCCATGGCTCGTGAGCAGGCCATAGCCCAGCCAAGGATGCAGTAGGTCATAGATGGTGGACTTCTGGATAAGCTGCTGGCTATTGAGAATGTACTGAAGTGTAGAGCCGAAATAAATATTTATTAATGCTCCTTCAGAAACATATAGGAAAAAAGGATTGAGTGGAAGACTCACCTCCAACTGCTTGGGATTGGTCACCACTATGTGGGCACTGTACCCGATCCAAAAGAGAAAGTTATCCCGGCCGCAGTCGTACCACCACTCGAAAAACGTATTAAGAATTTCTGCGAAACCAAAACAAGCAAAACACGATTAGGTCGATTATTTTGATCTTTGGCCGAGACAGCCGTTAATTTCGCCACAGCGATTGATGTTGCATCAGACTGATAACACTTATCACAGAGCCCGTCTAGACTGCGTGTGGCAGATAGCAGCCCAAACCAGCCCCCTCTTAGCTGGGGGTTTTATGGAACTGACCTGCCGGATTTTTGCCAATGCGATTGGCATTTCCTAAAACCGCCACCGGAGCGGGTCCACTGAACTCTTTTAGCTGGCGGCGGCGACGCGACACCCGAAGTTCAAAGTACACCAGCACGAGCAATGGCAGGGCCAGCAGAATTAGTACAGCGAACCACATTATTATTATTTTTTTTATAAATTTATTGAGAAGGAAAACCTGTTTGGGATGTGAACACAGAGACAGACACCGATCAAGCAGACGTTCGCTGTTGGAACAGATGGAGGAATCGCTGGCGTTGCCTGCTTTTATAGCCAGGTCCAGCAGGGTCAGCTTGCTCCGGATTGGCCGCTTCGATTAGACAAGAGAATGCTCCCAACGCTCTCCTTTCCTTTTACTGGGCGGGACCACAGTCCATAGTTCTTCCTCAATTTTTATTAGATTGCATCAGCCTTAGGATCATAATCGCTAAATGATAGTTCAGGAAAATGCAGTTTGAGTCTAAACATCAAACGATAAATATTAATAATATTTAGCATATATTTTTTGTATTTAAAAGGTAGATTCGAATTGATTAAAATTTAAGAGAATTTCCTTAAAGACATTGCTCTTTGCAAAAAGTGATAAGAGATTACAATGTGACCTAGAATGAATGATGGACAAAGTTCTTCTAGTTTAACTAATCAAGTCTGAGTTAAATATTTAGCCTTAACTATATTTTTTTAAACATTCTTATGTTAGTCTGTATTTAATGTATAACTATACAAATACTTATTTATTATTCATCTTAACCATATATATATATATGTTATTAGGTTATTCATATTAATTATTTTATTTGTGTTTTTTTTAAGAAATTTCTGTCATAATTTATTTAATTTGCTGTCTTAATTAATTATATTTATAGCAATATTGAAGACGTTGGTTTAAAAATATTTTTTTAATACGTTTTAGAGTACATTTCCTTTAAAAATCTGCATTTGCCTTAAAGAATTATCCCAGATTTACAACTATAAATTTATAATGACAACTGAATATTTATACCCTTGCAGGGTATTATAATTTCAGTCAGAAGTTTGCAACGCAGTGAAGGAGACGTTTCCGACCCTATAAAGTATATATATTCTTGATCAGCATCAACAGCCGAGTCGATCTAGCCATGTCCGTCTGTCCGTCTGTCTGTCTGTCCGTCTGTCCGTCTGTCTGTTTCTACGCAAACTAGTCCCTCAGCTTTAAAGCTATCTGAATGAAACTTTGCATATAGTCTTCTATATGCTCTCACTGCTATATATGTCGGAACGGGCCGGATCGGACGACTATATCATATAGCTGCCATACAAATGTTCGATAAATTTTTAGAAAAAAAATTATAACTTAGCTGTTTTTCAACATATTTGCACTATTTTACATATGACCATTTTATATTATTTCTGAATTTTGGTAAAAATTTTATGAAAATCGGACGACTATATCATATAGCTGCCATAGGAACGATCAGGAAATTAATAGAAAACAAGAAAGGAAGCTAACTTCGGCACGCCGAATTTTGTATACCCTTGCAGATTGGTTTTGATGTTCATATTAAAGATATAAATGTTGAAAATACTCACAAAACAGAGTTTCATTACAATTTACCTATACTTATTATGTTTACAGTTTGACAGTTACAGTTTTACATTCCCAGCTTTACATATTTTATACAATTACCGATCGCTTCTATGGCAGCTATATGATATATTTGTCCGATTTTTATGAAATTTATACCAAAATTCTAGAACAATAAAAAAAGCCTATATCTCAGAGTAGATAAAAATACGTTGAAAAACAACGAAGCTATAATTTTTTTCCTATTAATTTCCCAAACGTTCCTATGGCAGCTATATCATATAGTCGTCCGATTTTCATAAAATTTTTACCAAAATTTAGAAATAATATAAAATGGCCATATCTAAAAAATGGTGCAAAAATATTGAAAAACAACAAAGTTATAATTTTTTTTCTAAAAATTTATCGAACATTTGTATGGCAGCTATATGATATAGTCGTCTGATCCGGCCCGCTCCGACATATATAGCAGTGAGAGTATATAGAAGACTATATGCAAAGTTTCATTCAGATAGCTTTAAAACTGACGGACTAGTTTGCGTAGAAACGGACAGGTGGACAGACGGACAGACGGACAGACGGACAGACGGACAGACGGACATGGCTAGATCGACTCGGCTGTTGATGCTGATCAAGAATATATATACTTTATAGGGTCGGAAACGTCTCCTTCACTGCGTTGCAAACTTCTGACTGAAATTATAATACCCTGCAAGGGTATAAAAAATTATAACTTCGTTGTTTTTCAAACTATTTTTATCTACTCTGAGATATAAGCTTATTTTATTAGTTCAGAATTTTGGTATAAATTTTATGAAAATCCGACAACTATATCACATAGCTGCCATATAAACCGATCGGTAGGTGTAGGGAAAATGTAAAACTGGGAATGTAAAACTGTAACTGTCAAACTCTCAACATAATAAGTATAGATAAAATGCAATGAAATAATATCTGCAAGGGTATGCAAACTTCGGCGTGCCGAAGTTAGCTTCAACAGAAACTGGCCTACATTTTCTCTTACAACCTTTACATATAATAAATAGTACCTACCAGGGTATGAAAAATTCGACGCTGCTAAAGCAAAACACTGGTTTTGATTTCTGTTATTTTTCTTCTTGTTTCGTCTGTCTGGCCGAGTGGACTTTGAACCTGTTTGTTTATCTACCAGACAGACGACCGCCAGACTGGTTGATATTAGTAAGCTCGTATCAGCGAGGGGCTCGCTCTGTACCACAGCTACATAATTAGAAGTCGGGCCTCTAAAATATATTGTATTTAGCAAGGTCCATTATCAGTTTGCACGTGTGGGTGGGTGAAGGTCTGGACCTGACAGGCCTCCTCCTCCACCAGGATGAAGATAGAGAGATGCGGGTGAAAGAGACCCCAAAAACAAATGGTTAAAGTCAAGTTCAGCCAACAAAAGAGTTATAACTTTGGTAACAAAAGAGGCTCTGGATCGGGAAGAGGGCTTAATAAAGCATATAATATGCGTATTAATCAAATACCACCACGCATTGACTTTTCATCTGTGCGTGGGAGAGGTGAACCCGTGACACGAGTCCTGCGAAAAGCCACAAATACAAATCGTTCCCCGGAAGCCTGGGGAGCCCCATGACAGTCGGGAAAAATTACACACACCACCAGCACACACATACACAATATAAGCATTTGCCATTTCACGATTACATCTCCCTGGGCCGGCAATAAATCAAATTGGCAAACGAAAAGAAAAACAGAGAGAAAAGTTTTGCACACTGTGAATGGCTTTTATGGCATTTGTTTCGGGGGCCTGTAATTCGCTTGACAACTCAATGCTGCCACTGCCATTGCTGGTGCTGCTGCTGTCGCTGCTTAATGCTTAATGCCCGAACTTATAACGGGCGAAAATTTTAATGAATGACGTCGTCATCACGAGAGTGGCAAGGACGAAATGCCCTCGTGTCCCCCACCCCGCTCAAGGACGGGCAAACCATTTCAATGAACTTTGATAAATCGCTGCGAGGCGAAGGACGCGCTCAGCACAGTCCATATAATACAGAGCCGGGCATTCTGCTTCGCTGGGCTTCCTATTTCCGGTTGCCATTTGGTCGCTATATTTGGGCCTGGCCGCCGAATGCTCAGTGATTATGTAAATTGTTCAGCCCATTTGTAGCCCAGGCAGCCTCCGCCTGGTTATATTTTTATTTTTATTCATCGATTGCCTCTATTAAAAGGAATATTCCCCACAATTCCGGCTGGCTTATAGACTGCTCCTCTAATGGCAGAAAGATTCGCTCGCTTGCTTGCTCGCCGGGATTACGACAATTCTCCGCCTTAAAGTATGTCATAAATTTGGCGCTGACAATCGTTTCCGCAAATATTAGCCAAGTAAAACAAACGCTCATCCGGTGAGGCGGACCATTCCGGTTAATCATTTCCCAGGCTTATCAAGTGCGGATCACACACGTCGTATACGTAATTAGCTGGTTTCGAGCGAAGGGGAAAGCTGTCTTTTAAATGAAACAAACAATTCGCCGAAAAACTCACTGGGACCATTATCCCACTTCTTCGACGCTTGTTGTTATTGTCGTTGTTGTCTTGTTTAATGCATTTCTGCCTTCATGTGGCGAGGAGGAAGTAAATATTGCGCATACGCCACGTTGTGAGCACGCAATGCTGCATAGCATGTTTGGCACGTTCAAAAGGCGGGGCAAAGGAGAGATGGCAGGATATAAAAGAGAAAAACGGGATGGATGGACAACTACAGTGATAGCTCGCTAAAGGGGATTTTTTGTTATTGGTTTCTAGAGGTTTTTAGCAAGAATTTGCCATTAATTTGGAGTTATATATTTATTGAAATTATATTTTTTCTTGCCTTAAACCTTTTTTAATAGTTAAATTCCTGCATTTGCTAGTTACTCACATTTTCCTCTTGAATATTTATTTATTTGCTAGCTCTTGAGGTCTTGTTGGTCTTCACTGTTCTTGGCCAAGTAGAAGAAACCGCATTTACTGGCCACTTAAAAGAGAGAACTCCCATGTGGCCAGCCTGCTTCCCAGTCTTGCCCTTTCCCCCGTAAGAACCCCTTTGGGGATTCGCAAAAACTATGCAAAAGACTGGAGGAAAACCCCGCGCACGCCTCCCCTTATCAGGCCATAAAAAGCTGTATAGAATGTTGCAATCAGTTAATTTAAGTGCAGGCCAAGCCAACACGAACAAAAAGAAAAGGAAAAAAAAGGACCAAGAAAAGGAGAATGGATGAGGGAAGGCAACGGCGAAAAGAAAAATGGAAATTTCAATGCGCAAACATATAAACATGTGTATTTATATATATATATGAGTGTGTGTTTTGTGTGTGCGTCTAAACAAACACGCACAGTGAGCCACGCACAGTGGGTCAAGTTCCATTTCGAGTGGCGGATTCGTCCCCCGAAAACGAAACGAAACGAAATTCGCATGGGACAGAGGCCCAGGAAAAGCCGTAGGGAAAGTGGCCATGGGAGTGCAGGCGGGGGTGTGGGAATTTTCCTCGACCCGAGGCATACTCGCACACACACTATACACACACACACACACATACACAGAAGCAAAGCACAAGTGGCTACTAATGCAAATAATTTACAAGTAGCAAATGTGGGCGGCAAACGCCAGCAGCAGAATCAGCAGGAGCACCAC